AAAATATTAATTAATTAATTAAGTATTATTAATATACCCTTAATTAATGCTTTAATTAATTAAATTCCCACTTGCTAGTGGACATGAGCTAAGGAATATGTTGGATAAAATCAATAAAAAGGACAAAAGGTGTTCCTTTCCCCCAACTTGTATTTTATTAATATTAAAATTCAAATAAAAAGAATTATGCTTTAATTATTTTAACACATTATAATATAATATGAGTCAACTTTAACTTTCAAAAATATCTAATATATCTAATGGATCCCTAAATTTTTATATATTTAATATATTTTTAAACGAGACTAAATTTATAATTTTAAAAGTTTATAATATTACGATTTTATTGAAATTAGTCTAAAATAATGGTTAATTTAATTAGGCATAATAAATGGGCTCATTTCACATCTTTGTGGGCTTTAAAATAAGAGGAAAAAGTTGGGCTCTCGGCCCATGTTATGGGATTTTCAAATTTCCAATTTTATAAGGACAAAAATTAAATTACAGTTAAATTATTTATTTATCTGTTTTAAATTTTAGTTAATCACTGAAATAGTAAACAAAACAATTATTTTTTAAAAAATTATAAAAAATTAATTAGTGTTTATTTTAAAACTTATATAGTAGTTTATTTTATTTTATTTTAGAATCTATATGGGTTGATAATATTTTAATTAATTAATTTTTTAATGAAACATGAGATCCAATTAATTAAAAAAATAAAAATAAAACATAAGATGGCCACAAGAGTGGGAAGAGGTGGAATTAATAAAATTATAAGAAATTGCTAAAGTGGGAAAAAGTAGTTTTGTTGGAGTTTGATGCAAAAGAAAAAGGGTCCAACTTTATCCAACTTTGAGTGTCGTGATGTATTCCACCAACTTAATTTTATATATACTCGGGTTTGTTAACTTCTATATTCAACACTCGATCAGTTAACAACTGTGTGAGATTCCAAATCAGTTAGAGAGGAAAACAAAAAACGAAATATTCTTTATAAGGGTGTGAAAAACTTATCAAAAGATGACAATATTTACGAGCAGTAGGCTTGAACCGGGGTGATTCCCGTGAGCTAAATAGGATTGGAGATTGAGCTTACAATCTCTGTCCCTATCCCTATTCTCAACTTCGCTATAATGTCACTCAAATCTTAAAATAAAGATGACTTCCTGCCTCCTCCACTCTATAGACTACTCTGTTAGACGAACACGACTCTACACAATAGTATGATATTGCCCACTTTGAGCATAAGCTCTCATGGCTTTGCTTTAGTGTTCCCCAAAAGGCTTCATCCCAGTGGAGTTAGTATTCCTCACTTATAAACTCATGATCATTCCCTAAATTAGCCGATGTGGACTTGAACTGGGGTGATTCCCGTGAGCTAAACAGGATTGGAGATTGAGCTTACAATCTCTGTCCTTATCCCTATTCTCAACTTCGCTATAATGTCACTCGAATTTTAAAATAATGATTTTAAATTTTTTATTTTTAGTTTTGAAATATAAAACCATAAAAATTGAAATATAAGTTTTAATTAATATTATTGTTGTTCCAAAATTATGAGTGGGTGAAAATCGTTTGTACGGACACAAAGTGTAGAATGTTTTAATTCAGTTGCAATTTTATTGTCTGTTTGTTACAATAAAGATAAAATATATTTAATTATTATTATTTTTTAAAAAAAAAGTTCAGAATCTTATGGTTGTAGTTAAATGTCATTTCAGCAGACAGTCTGTCTTTAATTATTAATTAAATAATTCATGACTACAAACACATAATTATTGAAAGTTGAACCTCTCTTTAAATTACAAAAATTTAAATCTATTTACTCTCTTAATTTATAAAATTACTTCTCAATTTTTCAAAATTAAATTTTAATTTTAATTTTATATGAAATATAACATTTATTATTATTATTTTTTACTATATTGACGAGATATATAATATTTTTAAATTTCGTTAAAAAAATTATTAATATTTTTTAATATTCAAATATCAAAATTAAACTTATAATTTAATACCACTTAACTCGAAAGTAGTATTTTTAAGTAAATTACATTTTAAAAAATAGAAAAGTCAATTCAAGATTGGTTGGATGTAACGTGAGCAACGTGAATAAAATTTACAATCAAACGCAACTCAACTTTGAATTGAGATATCGAGCTGTTTTTTTAATTATTTTTTTAATATCACTAACATCGAGTACAAACATTAAATGTTCTTTTTAGGTTGGTCACGTTGAACCTCAAAACTAAACCCAACCCAAATTAAAAAAACTAACCCAACGTTACAGTTTCAGTTGAGTAGTTTAGATTGGTTGAATTATCGAGTCATATGAACGCTCCTAGTTAACAATGACAGCTGGTGGAAGGGGTAAATGGGGGGCTATTCTGAATATTTTATGTGGCTAAAATAAGGGTAATAATAAGAGTTCCAAAGCAATCTCCTTGATTCAAGGATGCCTATTGCCTAAGAATATATAACATTAAACCATACAAAAGTTGCTTTGGTTTCTTAATTTCATCAAAATTTATAAGCACAAAACCCTAATCTCCAAATCCAAAACTCTCTAAAATCCTAAATAGATTTCATTCTTCTTTTCTACAACAAAATTATGAACAAATTAATTCCATTTTTATAATTTTTTAAATACTATTTTTACTATTTATTAAAATAAATAAACTAATCAAATTTTAAATATTTAATACACCAAATCTCCAACTAATTATTCCTTTTAATAAATTAATTTCCTAAGATCTAATCCATTTCTCACCAACCTCTCAAATATATATTTTAAATCTTCCAAATCCTTATCCATTCATCAAACCCTAAGCTTTTATATATATATATAAAGTTCAAGCTTTTTTGGGAAATATTTTTTTTTTTTTTTTTTATTACTAACATGGATAAAAAAAACATTTCCCTAATAGACTCGTTTTAAAACCGTGAGATTGACTTGGGCTGTTATAGTTTCAGCTGGTCATGAATTTATGTACAACCATAATAGGAATAACATGCCGAGAATATAGTAAAAGCTTCAAACATACCCATCATTGTTATTTTCATACCGTATGAACTTAGCCCGTTTAAACGTATTTTATGTTCAAGAAACGATTTTATAATAAGATTAATCAAGCATTAAAAATGGGTGTGTTTGGATGTTCATCTAGAAGGGGAAATCATATACATTTGCATTACAATTAAGAAACAAGATTTGGGAATTAAGAGAGAGAGAGACAGCAAACCCTAGAATTAGTGGGCATTGTGTAGGTTAATTAATTAATGTAAGAATCAAAATTGGGTCTTTTTAGGCCTAAATTTGGTAGTGTTTGTAGTACAATAACACGTGCATTACTTTGAGTCCACAAAAAAAAAAAAAAAAAAAAAATAATAATAATAATAATAATAATAATAATTAATTTTTAATTAAAAGCTAATTGAAAGAGATTATTACCTAATGGAACAACAAAGGGGGACCATGAAACTATAATTGAGAAGTTTCCCATAGCCTTTATATGCTTTTGAGGTCACTACTCACATCCCAAACCCTACCAAAGGAGAGAGAACCAAAACCTAACTATGCCGACACTTGTCCCAAAGTTACTGCCTCCGATATCCACCATCGATCTCCTCAATTTTTCTAATATGACTAGCACAGTCTGTATAATCGTCACTTTCACGCTACTGTAAAATCATTTTTTGGGTAATAATAACATTATCGTGCTTAATTTACGATGAATCTAAATTCGATGGATAACTGGTTGTCGAAAATTGGCAAATATTTTAGACAGTAAAAACTTAAAACATATATTTATTGGAGTAAATTGAAAATTTTGAAATTATAGGGACTAAATTGAAAAAAATAAAATTTGAAAAGTTAAAAGAAAAAAAAAAGGGTAATAATTGAATGATTGAAGTGGGCATAGGTAAAAATAAAAGAGGACAAAAGTTGGAATTTGTTTAGAATATATGCCAATAGTCAAATAATGATAATTATAAGGGTTATTTTAATTAATTTAATTATCTTTTAAGTACCATGTTGTGAAAATAATTTAATTAAAAAATACAATAAAAATTCTCTGATTACACCTTTTAAAAAATTAAAATAGTACAACCAACGGTATCTCGAATAAAATCTTTAAATAGAAAGGAATCAAAACTAAAATAAATAAATAATAGATTAATAAATTTTAAAAAATTATCTATATTTTAAAAGTTACTCTAAACCCTAAATTATTATTATTATTTAAAATTATTTGAAATAGGACGATTAAATTTAAAATTTACTGAAAATAAAAATACAAATAATTGAAAGTATAAAAATTAAAATAAAATGAAACTCAAAATACACTATTAAAATAAATTTTTAGTATAACATGTATCTATATAACACAAAAATAGTGTAAAATTAAGGTTAAATTATACTTAATCGCCCTAAATTTTAGGGTAAATTTCGATAACGTTTCTAACTTTCATCTCAAAAGATATCGTTAAAATCATTTACATAATCAAATATTATGTCAATTTACGTGAATATGATATAAATGGTACCATGTATTCTTTCCTAGTTTTACACTGTAACAACCAAAATCTACCGTTATCAGATATTGTCTTTTTTGAGCTTTCATTTTTGGACTTCTCCTCAAAGTTTTGAAACGTGTCGGTTAGGGAGAGATTTCCACAACCTTGTAAAAGAATGTTTCGTAACTCTCTCCAACCGATGTGAGATCTCACAATCCATCTCCCTTCAAGACCCAGCGTCTTTGTTAGTACTTGCTCTCATCTCCAATCAATGTGGGATCTTACCCATACCTTTGGGGTCTAGCGTCCTCGTTGGCACGATGTGAATTTCCGTTTAGGGTTTAAACCCGTTCTCTCTCTTACCCATATCTTTGTCCAAAAAATAAAAAAGTTTTAACCTAAAAAGAGCATTTGGATAGATCACATGATGAATATATATAGTAAGTGGGAGGGAGAAGCTGAGCACTTGAAGGGAGCAACGTGTCTCCGTTTTAGAGGATACAAAAAGCCTCTTTCTTTTTCCCCTCTCCCTTTCCCTTTCCTTTTTAGATGGATGACAACACACCCATGCCAGAGAGACTAGTAGAATTCAAGTACGATTTCACCACCGGCGGCGGCGGCGGAGTTGGTGGTAGTACTGGTGGGTCGAGCGAGGAAGCTGGTAGCGGCATAGGCGGGTTCGTAAAAGAGCAAGATCGACTACTTCCAATAGCAAACGTAGGGAGAATCATGAAGCAAATTCTTCCTCCAAATGCCAAAATCTCCAAAGAAGCCAAAGAAACTATGCAAGAATGCGTGTCGGAGTTCATCAGCTTCGTCACGGGCGAGGCGTCCGATAAGTGCCATAAGGAGAAGAGGAAGACCGTCAATGGCGATGATATTTGCTGTGCCTTGGCCACGCTTGGGTTCGATGATTATGCTGAGCCTTTGAGGAGGTATTTGATTAGGTATAGAGAAATTGAAGGGGAAAGAGCTCAACAAAATAAGGGTTGTTGCAATAACAATGCTCATGATGCATGAAACAACATAATTTTAAGGATTTGGAGCAAAAAAAACACAACTTTCCTCTTTTATTCTCACTTTTTTCAATTGGGTTATGGTTTTTATTTGATTTCTCACTTGAAAACTAATGTGTTCTTAACTTTTCAACAATTTAGGGTTTGGTTTGAGATGTATAATTTGATTTGTTCATGTTCTTAAATTGATTCTAAGTTTGAGTATTTCGCGTATATTTAGTGCAACTTAACAAATGGTATCAAAATCAAGTTCGATTATACGAAGATCGTGTTTAAAACCGTAAAATCAGGTCTTTTAACTGTTCTAAAATTACTCCCGTACATGTCTTTAATAACATGTGAGATTTGACGTTTAGGGTTCGAGGAGATTTGGAGTAGTTTGATTGCAAATACAATAGATTTGGATGCGATTTGGAGATCTTTATTCTCGAACTTTATAAGATTCTATTTCTCATTAATTAAGTTTTCATGAGTTCTTTTTTTTTTTTTTTTTTTTTTTTGTGATGGGACGTGTTATGAGATCGGGAACTGATTGAAAGTTTGAAATTATAAGGACAAAACTAAAGCGATTTTGTTTTAACCCTATCACCTGAGTATAATCTAGTATGAGTCACTAATTTGAGTATACCCTAATTCGTTAATGTGCGTATATCTCTGACCTAAAAATTAGTGGTTCGAATCATCCTCAGTCTATGTTGATGAGCTCCAAGAAAAATGGATCATGTGAATAGTTGAATTCTTCTGTTTAGTTTTCCTCTGTTGTGGTCGTAGTTTAGATGATGATCAAGTTTAATTTTTAAATGAAAAAACTAAAAATAATATCGATATCAAATGAAGCTGATATTTTTTTTTCAGGTTGTCAAGATTTGGTTGGTTTACAAAGTATGTACTTGCAAGAAAATTATAGGTAGAATAAGTAACTCTCAGCTAAATTTTTTAAAATCAAACGGTTATCAAACAGAGTCTTAATTTTTAAATCCCGAGCAACATTATTTCTAGTATGCACGGTGAAAGAATGGTTGAGTTGAAACATACGAAGTTAAACCCTAAATTAGCTTAAATTTTAGGGCTTTCCCATAATTCACTAATCGAGCTAAACATATGACATTTACCTTTCTTGACCCTCATGTGACTCGAAGAACGCCCCTCACGTGTCACTGTCTATCTCGGGTGTCATTTTCTCGTTGCTAAATTATTAAAATTCATTAGGGCACGTGACATTAAAGCCAAATAAAAAAACAAAAACTAATTAAACTAGTTAATCCTAGTTAATCTAATATTAAATAATTACAATTTAAACATCACAATCCCAAATCCAACCAGAGAGACAATAAATAAGACATAAAAGGATAGAAACCTTATTTAGCACAAATAGAAAAAAGAAAAATAAAAAATATATATTTAAAAAAAAAATTAATTTATATTATATGCTTCATAATTCCAATTGCATAGTTTATTAGAGAAATTATGAGAAAGCATGTGCTGCTTTTGAGTTCTCCATGTGACACCTAGCACCTTGGCCTTGCTGCTTTTAGACTAATGAGTGATGAGCTGACATAATGAACCATATTGTTTGTTTGCTGTCTCCATTTTATTCTTAAATTAATGTTTTTTTTTTCCGAGCTAGCTGGATGATAATTGATATATATTTATTTTCATTTCATTTTATTTAATCCAACATAGTTCATAGTGCTCGTTCTATAGATACACGAACAATCTAAGAATGAAATTTAAGACTATTAAGTTGAAACTGAAAAATTGCACCTCGACCTAGCTGCAAATCTCGAACTTGTTGACTGAAGTCAACCCACTAAAGCTCATACGTCATTCCTACTTTGAGCATACGCTCTCTAGGGATGTAGAAGATATCTTCATTTTGTCTCAAATTTCTCCTTAATGCATTGTAAGCATAATTGATCAAAACCCGTTTAGCTAACCCTGACCCATTACTTGCCACCACCTCGTTTTGTCCAATCAAGTGAACAATTCCATCTCTCCAAGCTCTATCCACCACCTCTATCCCTCCATATACTTTGCTCGATCTATCGTTATCTTCGTTTTGTAACATCCATGACTCCTCTTCTATAAACATCTTTAATTTCTCCACTAGTACTCTCTCGAATGACTCCTGCTCGTGGATGATATCTTTGTACCCATATCGAACCACGCATCGAAACACGTTGAGGTCATCAGGCTCGACTCGTCTAAACAGGAACCGCTCTTCCATTAAGACTCTGCTTATTGGGAGGGACTTGAAGGACACGAAAATGAGGACTCTTTGGAGAGTGGGAATGTTGGCTATATAATGCTTGAAGATTGGGGGTATGCCTTGGACAAGCTCGGAGTAGAACAAGGCGAGGCCAGGGACACGATTAAGAGTTGTGAGAGATGGCATGTCCTTGAGCTTTTGAGGAGAAATCTTGTGCTCAAGCTCGTAGTAGTATTTTCTCCTATGGACGTCATACCAAATGTACATTATTATCATGAGAAACCCCGCAAAAGCTAAAGGAAGATAGCCCCCTCGATCGAACTTGTAAAGGACTGAACTTAGGTAGAAAAGCTCCAATAAGCCAATGGTGAAAACATAGGATAGTATGACGAGTATGTGAGATTTCCATATCATGATCATGATGAGCACCAAGAAACTTGAAGTAAGTGTCATTACGAACACCACTGCAATGCCTGTGTGAAAACAAAGTTTTTAAACTCGTAACACTATTTGATTTAGAAGCTTTCAAAATCGAGTAGAAAATCTGTAACGCTCAAGTTCAAGCCCACCGTTAACAGATATTATTTTTATTGGACTTTGTCTTCCAGACTTCCCTTTAAGGTTTATAAAATGCGTTTGCTAGGAAGAGGTTTCCACATCTTTATAAAATAAATGTTTCGTTCCCTCTCCAACCGATGTGGGATCTCGCAATCCAACCTGTTCGATTGTGAGATCCCACATCGATTGGAGATGGGAACGAGTGCCACCGAGGACGCTGGGCCTCAATAGGGGGTGGATTGTGAGATCCCACATGAGTTGGAGAAGAGAACAAAATATTGTTTATAAGAGTGTAAAAACCTCTCCCTAACAGACGCGTTTTAAAACCTTGAGTGAAAGCTCAGAAGGAAAAGCCATAGAGGACAATATCTGCTAACGGTGACCTTGAGCTATTACAAAGACAGTTGCTCGATTCCATCTACTATCATTTCTTCCCTAATCTATATTGATACATAGAAAAAAAAAATGAAAGATTCAAGGGAACATTACCATAAGCATTTCCGATTCTAGTTGTATCTTTGAACCCAAGAGTAACTCCAAGACAAGCCACCATAAGAAGGTAGTTAACTTCAGGGATGTAAACTTGACCCTCATACTTGGAAGAAGTGTGAATAACTTTAACTCTAGGGAAGCAGCCATAGGAGAGGGACTGTTGGATGATGGAGAAGGTGCCCGAGATCATCGCTTGGCTAGCAACGATGGAGGCGAGCACGGCCACCACAAACATAGGCCAATAGAGAGCACCTACAAAGGTAATTACAAGCCAATTATGACAAAAGTTTTAAGTAGAAACTATACCAACTTATTAACTTAAACTTCAAAGTACCTGGAATGGAGCTAAAGAAGGTGTTGGAGACAAGATCAGCATGCTCACGGAGAAAGGAGGCTTGGCCAACGTACGCAGAGACAAGGGCAGGGTAAGCCACGCAACACATGCTCAGTCTTATAGACATCACACTAAAGTGCCCCAGGTCCGCAAACAGAGCCTCAGTCCCTGTCTCCACAACATCAAAGAACTAACCTTAAAAAACACAAAATTGAACACAAGACTGGAATGGTTGGGAGAGAGTCTGATGATCATGAGTTTACCGGTAATGGAAAGAACGGCACCGCCGAGAGAGATCCAAGCGTCCCTTTTGTTTCGTTTGAAGTAGTAATAAATGTATATAGGATTAACAGCTTTGATGACAGAAGGGTCAAATTTCAAGAAATTGTAGAAGCCAATGGCACCAATAAGTACAAACCAAGTGCAAATAATGGGAGCAAAGGAGTATCCAACTTTATGGGTTCCAAATCTTTGCACCATGAACAGGCAAACCAAGATTGCTGCTGATATCCACACTATTTTCTCTGTCAAAATTAATAAATTAATTCAAAATTTAAATAAATAAATATAAAATAATCATTAAAAATTTAATTCTCATATGCAAAAAGAAGTGTACCTTGGGTCATAGTCGAGGTAGCGTTCTTAATTCCTCCCACGGCCGACAAAACTGTCACAAAATTTAATTTTTTTTTTTTAATTCATTATTTTATAAATAAATTTTCAAACTCAAAAACTCTTTTTTCCATATAAATTGGCCATAAAATTCCAATTTATTTTCAAGCCTCCCCAAGTACTAACATCCATATCTTAGACCTATTTAATTATATAAATATAAAAAATAATTTATTCATATCTCTATATTCCTATTGGTCACTAAAAAAATATGTATTAATATTTAAGGTATGAAAATAAATAAATATATATTAAAATTTACATTTATTAAAAATTTAAATTTAATTGAATATATCAACCCAACTCAATATATTATAGTTAATTAATTATTTTTTTTTTAAAAAAAATGTTATTTATCTATTTAAGTAAGTAGAAACTAACTAATTAATAAGGTTCGTTTATATTAATTACCCATAAATAAGTGGACCCACCATATGGAAAGGAAAGAGGAATGGTTACCGGAGATGGAAGGAGTGAGGACGCTGTCGCCGATGACCATGGAAGTGCCGAGCATGGTGGCGAAAAGCAAGAAAACCTTGGCGGCGCGGCTGTTCTCGAGCTTGGACTTCAGGCAAGACGCCATTTTGAGGCGGTTGGTCGGTAGCTCCACCTGAAAATTCGATACCTCTTGATCTTCCACTTGCTCGCTTGGTATCAGTCCAATTTTCGCGTATCGGCATAGTAAAGAGTATAATGCAAACGTGCCACCTTAAATCATATTTTTACACTCAATTATATGTCAATTCAGGAAATGATAATTTAATACGGTTAATTATATGATATTATATCAAAGATAAAGATATAATTTAAGGAAGCAAAAACAAAACTTTATGTTTAATTAAATTATATTACCTTCGCCGTTATCATTGGCCTGTAAGACCAAGAAGACGTACTTAACCAAAGGGATTAAGGTAAGCGTGTAGAGAATCAAAGACAGCACACCCAAAACGTCGTCGTTATGCTTGATTCCCTCACTGAACGTGCTCGCATATACGTACAACGGCGACGTTCCGATATCTCCGTACACAATCCCCACGCTCTGAAACGCCAGTTGAAGTATCACTCCCCAGCTCGCCGCCGCCTTCCCCGCCGCCTTGACAGAGCGGGATTCGAAGTCCAATGAATCGTGTCGTCGGAGATTCGTTTCAGTCAGGTTAGGCCTTGACTCGCCGGAGCTCTGTTGGAGATCGGGACAGTGATCGTTCTCAGCCGTCCGATCGGCTTCCATTGTTTTCTCTATGATGAGAGAGAAATGGAGTTTTTGGAGAATTTTGGGGTTGGAAATGGGTATTTATATGGAATTTTGGGTGAGTGGGTCCCACTCTATGCATTTTTTTTTTTAAATAATAATAATAATAATCAATTCTTATACTAAATTTAAATAAATAAATGTTCATTAATTGAAAGTAGAAAAAAGAAAAAAAAAAACATCATTAATTTTCCTCTTATTTTTACTAAATTTATAATTAAATTAAAAGAAATTATGTTCCACTATACTTACAAAAATGCTAGTTTTGTTTTTTTTTTAATTAGAAAATCGATTTAATTATTTGAATTTAACTTTAAAAAAGTTACATGCCACGTAAGACTCTTGAATTTGTTATTAGAAGTTAAATTCTTATATTTTTTTTAGTAAATTTTTAAAAAAGAAACATTTATTCTCATAATTTTCTAAAAAAGTACTTAAATTATTTTTTTTTTTATTTTTGGGAAAAAGTGGAAAATTCAAGGAAGGTCCTTTAAAATTTGGTATTTGCATTTTGATCCTCAAAATTTCAATGGAGAGAAGCTTCTTTCCTTGACTCAAAATTCCACCATGCAGTGGAAAAGTCACAAATGAATGCCCAATAGAATTTTGCCACGTCACCCCTACGATTCCCAATTTATAACGTGCAAATAGTGGATGGCTTTGTTCCCACACGGTGAATAAGATATTTTTGTTCCTTTTTCTCTTCCCTTATTTAAATCAGAATTAAATTAAAAAATAAATTTAATTATAAATATATTTACTAATTTATAATTTTTTTTAAATTAAATTCCTAAAAAAACCATCTCCAACTTATTATTTAAAAATTCATTTTAAAGTTTAAATTCCATTTATCTGTAAATGGTGAGTTTGGATTGTAGTTTGAACAAAACGATGGTAAAGAACAATTTCACTTTCTCCAACCAAATGAACGACGCCGTTTTGCTTTATCAAACCTTTTCAATCTCTCCACCTATTCTCTTCTCGAACAACTCTCACTCATTGTGATCGTCTTTGTATTTATATTGTATGATGCATCGAAAGATATTAAGCTCTTTTGGCTCAACCCTATGAAAGAGAAACCGCTCGTCTAATGAGACCTTACTTATAGACAATGACTTGATCGAAACGAAGACAATGACATGATGAAGGGCCGACACATTTGCCATGTAAAGCTTGAAAATAGAAGGAATCCCTTGCACGAGCTCAAAGTAGAAAAGAGCAAGGCCTACAACTCTACGAGGATTAGCATTAATAGGTTTATGTTGTTTTAATGGGACCCATTGTTTACGAGGACTAAACAAATTATTACCTTTTAAGATTAGACTTGAAATCTTAAAATTTTATTATTATTATTATTATTATTATTATTATTATTATTTCACTTTTTAAAAAAAATATTTGATATTTTAATTAATAACTAAAGAAATTAAAAGATTTATCAAACTAATATTATAAATTAAACCCTAATTTCAAATAATTACATATTTAGTCCTTAGATTCCTACCATTATATATCAGTTGGTCCCCACATTTTTAAAATAATAAAATACTAATTTTTTTATAAAAAAAAAACCAATAATATCTATTACTTTTTTTAGATAATAAAATAAGTAAATTATAGTAAAAAATAGTGATGAAGAGCAAAAATAAAATAATTACCAAATAGACCCGAAACTTTTTTAAATATTAAAATGGGCATAATTGCATACCTTGAGCCTTCTTAATGCCTCCAACAGGTGACAAAACTGCAATAATTACAAACACAAGGACTTAACTGCAAAGTCAAAACAAAGAGAGCAAAATGAAATACAACTCTTCCATATTTACATTAATTGCAATTTTTTAAAAATTAATTTTTGCTGCAAAATAATTCCAAAGGAGAAATTGACTCTCTACCAACTCCCTGCAAAACGACAAAACGGCTTCCTAACTATGAACAAAAATTCATGAGGATTTTAAATATCTTTGCAAATTACACCCTCTAATTTGCGAAGTTTGCAAATTTATCCCTCTAGTTTTAAAAATTATTTTTTAATAAATATTTAAAAACAATTTTAATCTTTGTAAAATTACATATTTACCCCTTTGTAGAGAGTAATTTTGCAATTTTTATATTATTTATATTTAAAATGTATTTGTATAATAATTAAATTAATTTGAATTGTCTAATGGGACTTCCCATTTGTTTGGTGAAAAAACAAAAGTATTTAATAAATATAATATTAATTGGTCAAAAGGGGTTCTTTTGAAATATGTTGGGACTTGGGAATCAATATGTTTTCAATTTTCAAAATATCTCATTTATTATTATTTTAAAATGATTTTTTTAATATTTTTTCTCTATGTCATAAAACATTAAAACTAAATTGAAAAATATTGAAACTAACTCGTGTATTTTATCATAATAATATTACATTATTATACTAATATTATTTATAAGTAATAATTATTTTTATTTAAAAACTCGAAGTCCAAAAAGAAAAAAAAAATCGTACCATCGCCATTGTCGTTAGTCTGCAAGACGATGAAAACGTACTTAATGTTAAGGATATTTAGTACTAAATTATAGTTTACTGTATATATCATATTTAATATTTTATATTAATCTTTCCATATATAATTCTTTAAATTTATTATTATTTCTATATTTTTGTAATTTATTTGATTATAGATAGAGAAGTTTCACAGTGGATTAAGCAAATATTCTCATTATCGTTAGCCTGCAATGAAAATAAAAAATGAAAAATCGTACCATTGCCATGGTCGTTACTTAACCAAAGGGATCAAAAGTGCTCGGAAAAACATACAACGGCGACGCTCCCATATCTCCGTACACTATTCCGATGCTCTGAAAGGCCAGTTGCAGAGACACCCACCAGCCCGCAGCCGCCACGGAGGCAGCGGCGCGCGTGAGGTTGTTTGACTCAACGTCTAATGAATCGAAACGGCGTAGTTTCGGCAATGAGAGTATTTTGGGACTGTTGTTGAGGTCGTCTGTTTCTATTTTTCCAGTAATTTTTTAGAGTGGGAGAGAGGTGGTGATTTATTAATGGAAGTGAAGTGTGTGATATTATTTATTAGAGAGAGAAGAAAAATATATTGGATGACTTTTGGTGGATTAGTGGTTGATTATGGCTTTAATTATAGGGAGTGTATGCTCTTAAATATGCCATTTTAGCTTAATTTAGTGTACATAAAAGATATTCAAATCATGGTTTTATGAACGAATTTTCTTACCATAGATATTGATCATCAAAATAAATCTGTTTCTATTTACTTCCTTCAAATGAAATCGTATTGAATTTTAGTATTTGTTATCTACATATTTATATAAGAGGTAGTAGTCAATGGAGTTTATTAAATTTGTCAAAAATTTGGACAAAAAGTCCCTGTCTGAAAAAGAATAAGCAAAATGTTCACTTATCATTTCCATAAGAAAATTGTCCCTGACTTCAATAAAGAAATTTTTGTCACAATAATTTCTTTCTTCATCCTCCACTAATCTAAAATATTGAATTCCTTTTTCAACAAAAGAAAAAAAGAAAAAAAGAAAGATGAAACAGAGAATGTGAATTCATTTATCTTAGCCATTTCTAACACAAACAAGCAACGTTGAATCAATTTCTAAACAATCAATATATGTGCTTTTGTAGTAACCAAATTGAACAATTTGAAGAAATTGTATGCAAGGAAAACAAGAAACCATCTTTTTAGACACTTTTCATTGCCATTATTTCCTCTTTGATTTCGTAAACATAGAGAAAAACCAGCAAAAGCTTCTAAGTTTTGCATAATAACTAGCTTTGCCTCCTTTCTAGCTTTGGCTGATTGAACTTTATTTCTTTTGGAGTAGGTGAAAATGTATGGTTTGTTTGGGAAGGAACGATCCTCAAAATCTAAACTCTATTTATTTAGGCATACTCACTAATATTCATAGTTTTTTCCTAAACCATCAAATTCAACATATTACACGTATTATAACTATATAGGGAGGAACGTTTTAATTACGCAATCAAAAAATATCTTGAATCATTCAAAATCAATTTAATTTTTTATTTTACATCTTGAAAGTGGTTTTAATCCTTTCAAAATGGCTCTTAAACATGCCTTCAGACTTCAAATATTTGAAAACGAAAGCACTTTTGGGCTAAATTTGGTGCATGAACTTTGGTAAAGTGGGGATTGCAACCTAACAAAATAGCAGGCTGATATCAAGGGATTGCACAAACAAAGCACATCTGAGAAAAAAGAGAACACAATAAGATGATACCATGGTTGACATTGTCCTAAGGTTTGGTATGATTTCTGACCTTTTCTCATATGGGAGTCTCAAGAATTTCCCTTGCCGAAGGACGTCGTGCCGGTTCGAGATCCACCATAGCCTGTTAGAGTTATCAGTCAATCAATCAAAGAAACAAGTAGCTAAGAAATGGGAAGGTCCTGAACATCTCTAATAAAGTTTCAAGATAATGAAGTAAATAGTGAACATTTTCTCATCGTCATACAAAGGCAATCTAAAATCCATGCTTTTATCAGAGGTAAGATTCTTCTATAATTTCTCTTCCAAATGGGATATGGGATATCAAATCGTTCTTCTATGTATTAAGTTGGACTTCATTCACTCAAAGGCTATTTGAGAATTTAATTTATTAAGTTTACCGCTCAAAGTCTTGAAGAGAAACAGAATAATACATCTTCTGATTTTTTGTTTGATGAATTGTGCTGGACTGATAAAATCAGGCTTCTCAAACAATATAAGCAATCTGATCAAACTACACAAATGTAGAACAGACAGCTAAAAGACCATCTAAAATTAGTTCATTTTGATTAGATATGCCTGGCTTTATTTATCTAATGATCCCATCTTTCAGAAATAACCCCAACAGAGCATTAAATATTCAGACGGTTCAAACAAACAAACAAAATCAAATATTCCTTTTGGTTAACATACATTGTTATTTGCAGAACGAGGAATCTGACAAAACAAGAAAACATTTGTTCATCTAAATACATGCATCATGGGTTAACAGGATTTGGAGATATCTTCGTCAGGAAAAAAATAACTGCAGCTTCCTTTTATCTTTTGGAAGGTCGGAATGCAACTTCGTTCAATTTTATTTTGGTGGCAGAAGTTTTGACCTTCTTACAATGATAGACATTTTTAATGGAAAGTAAAATTTGGGGGAACAGATGCAAACATTGATAAATACAGTGACCAGATTCCACTACAAGGTTCATCATCCTAGGAGGGTGAGTCGAGGCCTATCAGGCCAAAAGGCAAAGTCGGTAGATATGAAGAGAGCAAAATATAACAAACGAATCCCATTCAAAAAAGAAATTCGATTACACCCTCGCCTGGGCCCATTCCTAAAGCCATGAGAATTGGTAAAAAAAAAAACGTTATCCTAGACTATAGTGAGGAGTAAGGAAAGGGCTTCCAAGATAACAAGGCCCTTCTTACATGGGCTTGGACTTGCTTTGATGATGGTTCAGCATATCCTAAAAGAGGTCTTTCGAAAGTATAGAAGTAACAACTAAATCTAGTAATCCAGCATTAAATAGGAAGAAGATTTAGAAAGGCTTTTTCCATGAGTTCGGATGAAAGAGCAAAATCTGACTCCTCAATGGATGATTCGACATCCTTGGGTGCTTATATGTGTAGTTTATATGTGTAGTTCAATTAATCAGTACCTTGATTAAGTTTTGAAATTGCAATGAATGACCGGAAGGAGTGGCAATTTTGAAATTGCAATGAATGATCATATCGTATCTTTCACTCATAATTTCTCGAGGCATATAGTGTGCATCACCCTCCTCAATCGGTAGGCTTTTTTCAGAAGGGTAGCACACCCAAAATCAAGTTTATAAACACCATTTTTTACAATATATACTGTTAGGTTTCACATCTAAATGAGCTACTCTTTTCTCGTGAACAAATAGCAATGCCTTCGCAATTTGTTTGTAGTTTCATTTTCAGCAGCAAAGCCGTGAAGTTTCAGAAGTTACCAGTTCTAGAACTTGAAAATTGAAAGGAAAAAGCTTATGTATTAAATATAAAGGCAACATGAGGATTGGAATGGATAAAGATAAAACATTAACACACAATTTACAACCAAATTCTGGATCATTATTTTTCAGAAGTGGCATTTCCTGTTGAAAGCAATGGATTGAATGAAGTGCAGAAATAACTAATTCACTCTTCCAGGCAACAAATAAAAATTAAGCTTACTTAAATGCGTTAACAAAAGCAATATTTTTGGCAATGAAGTTTTACAAAAAGAAAATGCAATGTTTAAAAATTCAAGATGGAACTAAAACTCACCTGATACAAAAGGCTCTCAGTGCATTTACCTCAGAGAATGGGTGAGAATACCTGCCAATGGATAAACTATAATCACAGAGCTCCATTTGAATGTAGAGTTGCTCGTTTTCAAACCATGAAGAGCAGTACCCATGTCTAGATATCTAGAACTCCATTTAAACACCAAAAATGATATGGTCAATTACAGTGCAGCCTACAATCTCACCAGATATCATTTTCCTCCATGCATACCAATCTCAATACTAACGAGCAAAGTAATTTCTGGAAGTATTCTATTACTAGCAAATCATGCAACATTATTCAGGCTATTTAAGTTCCTGTCACAGGAGATGACTACCGTTTCTTAACTAATGAACAAATTAAGCCATGGTAATAAAAACAAATAATCAACTACTCTCTACATCCATCAACAGAAGCTAAAATTAACTAATTCGTTAGCGAAAGTGATAGAAAACTCAGTAAAAATAAAGGTAATCGCTAAAAAGAATTCAATTATTAGTAAACACAGGCTATACTACTTCGAACAGGAAATAACGTCCATTTCATAACACGTCGAGAAAGATTACAGAAAACAATCAAATACTCTCCCCGATTCATCAACAGCAGATCAAACGAACTCATAAATGGTAAAGAGGAAGAAAAAACAGATACAGAACTCACCAGATGGAATCTCTATCCTCAGAGTTAGGAGATGATGAGGGGAGAGCTTCGGAAGCGTTGATTCCCGCCGGTGCTTCAGATTAAGCAAGTCCTGGAAGCAAGCAGCGGTAGAAGACGGTTGTGCCCAATAAGAGTTGATGTAATATATATATATATATATATCTTCTTTTTTTTTTTTTTTATCGTCGTTTGTAAAATAATTCATATTGCGCGGGGAGAGTAGTGATTGTGTGTAGCCGAGACTATGGTGAATTCGTTGGGAATGGGAATAGACCCCACTGATTGGATGGTGATACTTCAGATCTACGGTTTGGATTGGTCGATATCGATGGGCTTGATTTGCGTGGCTTGTAAGCTTGAGCATGGATGATAATTAATTTGGGTTGGTTAGCTAAAGAAGAAAAGAAGTTAATTTTCAATACTTATAACTAATTATTTATTGATTATTGATAATTAATTATTTATTTATCGAAATATATCATAATTTTAAGAATAATTAATTGACTTAAAAGTTAAAATTATAATTAATAATAATGAACTACAATTTTTTTGAATTATTTTTTACTGTAATTGTGTTTTATTTCAAATAATTTATAAGATTTCATAATTATATTTATTGGAGTAAATTTTTGAAATATAAATTTATTGAGAACCATGGCAAAATAAATTAAAAAATCAAAAAATTTAAAGTAAATTAGTAAAAACTGAATTAAAATTTAAAATTAGTATTTTAACTATTAAATAAATAATTGAATAATGTAATTAAATATATGAAATTTTCATATGTATGTTAAACAAAATTTTCTAACTAATAGCAATAATAGATTCATGAATATAGAAATTAAAAAAATTAATATATCTATTAAATATAAATTAATTTTTGTTTAAATTGTTAAAATTTTAGAAATAAATTAGATATAAAATTTTAAGCTTTGGAAATATTTATTGAAATTCAACTACTTTAAAGGGTAATTTAAGAACAAAATTAACCCAAACTATTAAACTTTAAATTTAATTAAATTAGAGGGAAAAAATTCTAAATTAATTTTCCAAAATTACCCTTCTATTGTTAGTCCTAAATCCCAAGCCGACAGGACGACTTTCTAACTCGCGTCGCTGGAGAACAAAGCTAATTACGTCATTTACAGCTACGTGTCGCTCACTCACCTAATAGGGGCGGAATCAGCAGGTGTCTCAAAAGACGTAAATACCCCCAAACACCTTCTCGAGCCACTTTACAATTTGAAGTCAAATTCGTAACTTCACAACAATCCCCAATCCTTCGACGCTCGAATTTGTTCTGCGTTTTCTTCTAAATCATGTCTTAAGATTCCTCCATCTTCGTTTTCATCTGAACCTCAATTTCTCTGATTTTCGGTTCCCCCGTCTCTAATGGAGACCCTCTCAGCCTTCCCGTCACCTCCATGGCCGAATCCCGACCCCAACCCTCCGCCGGCCGTCGCTGACTCCGAACGCTTCGATTCCGATTCAGTTTCATCGGAGCCGCCCCAGTTGCCGCCCCAATTGCCGCAGACGGTGGAGACGACCGTTTCGTCAACGGCGGTTGAACCGCCTGCTTCGCAGCCTTCTCTGCTACATATCTCCTTCAATCAGGACCATGGCTGCTTCGCTGCGGGGACTGACCGGGGGTTTCGGATCTACAATTGCGATCCATTCCGTGAGATTTTCCGTAGGGATTTTGACCGTGGGGGTGGTATTGGCGTCGTTGAGATGCTTTTTCGGTGTAATATTTTGGCTCTTGTTGGTGGTGGGCCTGACCCTCAGTATCCATGTAATAAGGTCATGATTTGGGATGACCATCAGAGCCGGTGTATTGGGGAGCTTTCATTTCGGTCTGCTGTTCGCGGTGTTCGTCTACAGAGAGACCGGATCATTGTTATTTTGGAGCAGAAGGTTTTTGTGTACAATTTTGCGGACTTGAAGTTGCTGCATCAGATCGAAACTATTGCAAACCCTAAGGGTCTTTGTGCTGTTTCCCAGTTGAGTACTTCGCTTGTGCTTGTCTGCCCCGGACTGCAGAAGGGGCAGGTTAGGGTTGAGCATTATGCCTCTCGACGGACAAAGTTTATTATGGCTCACGACTCGAGGATTGCTTGCTTCGCGCTTACGACCAACGGGCAGTTGCTTGCTACAGCGAGCACCAAGGGAACTTTGGTTCGGATATTCAACACAGTTGATGGAAATTTGCTTCAAGAGGTGCGCTAATGTTCTTGGAAACGAAGTTTTTCTTCTGGGATTGTTCTGAATTGTTAGAATTTCAGTGTAATGAGGATGTGAACTGTAATCTTGTTCTCCCCATTTAGTTTTGAATTTGTAGGAATGTTCGTTAATCATTTATGAAGTACTTAACATGGCAATGAATTTACTTTGAATTATCTGGATGTGATGCATAGGTAAGGAGAGGTGCAGATAGAGCAGAGATATACAGTTTGGCTTTCTCATCGACTGCCCAATGGCTGGCAGTGTCCAGTGACAAGGGTACTGTCCATGTATTCAGCCTTAAAGTCAATTCTGGATCTCTTGGGAATGATATGTCTCATCAAAACGATTCCTCTCTTTCTGTGGCACCATCTGGCTCCTCCTTTTCCTTCATCAAAGGTAATACAAACATATTTAATCGCTTCGAATTGCTTTTTAATCGCTTAGTATATCAGCTAGGGAAATTTACTTGCACCCTCTAAAAGAGAACGCTTAAGACTAGAAGATAACAGAATTAAGTGTTGGGCTGACACTGTCCCCCACATTTTACTTTTGTGTTTCATTTTTCTTTCAATGATTGCTAGAAGAATAAGAACAGCCAGCAATACCCCATGAAAGCAAAGAGATTGGAGATTAGCCTTATTATGTTGTAGCATATTAATGGCAAGTAACGTCCAATGTCCTTTTTAAACCTCTGGATATAATGATCTCTCTTGCACCTGTAGGTGTCTTGCCAAAATATTTCAAGTCAGAGTGGTCTGTGGCTCAGTTTCGCTTGCATGAAGGCTCTCAGTATGTTGTTGCTTTTGGTCATCAGAAGAATACAGTGGTAATCCTTGGAATGGATGGAAGGTAATAGGTCTTTGTAGCCCTTTTCTCGTTATTTCTCTTGCACTTGACGATTATTATGCGATTATTACGCAGAATAGAAATTAAGATGGGGGTTGCTTGGGAAACCTAACTACAAATTCGACGTTATCATAAAAAAAATATATTTAATGTGAACGTTATTGTTTTCATAGACGCAAATAGACAATTCCTTTTCTGCTTTAACTCGAACCGTTTGTTATTTGCTTCATTATATTTTCAGCATTACCCTAAATTGTGAAAGCTTCCATTCAATCTGGTATTCTTGGCGACTCCCCTTCAAATCTTCTTTTCTCATTTATTTTCTTTTACTGCCCAAACTTATAGAATCCATTTTCTTTTACGCCATGCATTTCTATGTTCTGTTTGGTTGTTTGTTTAACTGCCGCTTTGAATATTTAGAAACTTGATGTGCCATTTTTAATTGTATGCAGCTTCTACCGATGCCAATTTGATTCAGTGAACGGAGGTGAGATGACACAGCTTGAATATCACAACTTTCTAATGCCAGAGGAAGCCTTCTAGCCCAATATTCCCTTTACTTCGGCTATGTCGTATGTATGCATTTTCCTGCTTCCTCCTAAGCATGTTGTAAATAGATCGATGCACATGTATAGATTGGCCTATGTCCGTCTTAGGGGAAAGGGAAGAAAAGAAAAAAAATGCTACTATTGCCACTAATGTTCATATTTAATTTTACTTGTCTTATGTGCTATACATAACAAAAGGGGGTGGTGGAATGAAGAGAAGAAAACATGGCTCATGAGATTTCTTGAGATAACTTTGTTGTAATATAATGGGGATTTGAATGACAACGTAATGTACCATTCAGTGTCTTTGAGGTACAAAGACATGTGAACAAGTTGGATAAGAAGGCAAGGCTTGCAATTGAATATCATAGCAGTTTTTGATATACCTTTCTAGGCCTTTTGGCTAAGATCAAGTGCAGGATATGTTTTTATCATAGCAGTTGTTGCTTGGAATAGGCATTGGTTCGTATACACCGTGTTTTTGGAGAACAGTAGGTAGATTTGATTTCTGGGCTGTAAGTTATAGCAGAACTCGACCCGGATAATTGGTCGAAACCTTTACTAACCATTCTAGCCATGTGTGTTTTGAATGGTGCCATTTAGGATAAGTTTCCATCCTTGTAGAGTTGTCAAAGGGTAATACATATGTCCAGGTATTGCCATTGTTTGCTTCCCTACTGGAATGTTATGAATGTTTGCATTTGGTTGTTCTGTCAGCTTCCATGTTAGAATATGAGGAGGCTTTTGCAATAGATAATGGATCAAGAAACACATGCTTTTGATGGTGTCATAGAGAAAAAGCTATAGTTTGGTCATTTGGATTCTACACGCAGACAAATCATGTTGAAAGGTCACGGAGGTACGTAGATAACATGACTATGTTGTAAGAGATATAGGAGAATGTCTGGGCACATAGATGTCAAAATTAAATTTTTTAATCTTAATTTGAATATTATTGTACAAATCAATTTTGTTTTTTTTTTTTTTTTTTTTTTTTTTGGAAGAATCTAATGGAAGAGGATTAGAATAAATAATTAATTGGAATTTTCTCCATGATTATTGGTGTTTCAATCAAAACAAAAATAAAAATAATCATTAAAAAACACATTAGTACGGCCTGTCATGGAGGGAAGAGAACCACGATCCTTTTTCTTTTATCCAATAGGATTGTTTTTTAAAATATTTTCGTATAAATAATCTTTTTTTAAAATATTAAATGAGAGATTTCTAACTTTAAAAAAACCTATAAATTAAGAATTTAATTTTATAAAATTTAAAACTTTATTGACACCAAAATGATATCATTTGAAAATTAAAAATTAAAAAATTAAATATTTGTTAGACAATTTTTTAATTTATTTTTTTGATTAAATTAAAAAAAAATGGTTGCAGCCTTGGAAAAAGTAAGAGCAATAAAATTTGAATGTTGTGAAAAAAGAAGCACGTGCTAAATAGAATAGGGAAAGGGCGCATTCATGATATTTCATTATTCGCAACACAAAAGAAAATAATTCAACGTCATAATTCCATGGTTAAATTTAAAAACTTCCCATTTTATTTTTTTTAAATATTGTTATTATTTTAAATTTTATAATATCAGTTTTTAATATTTCATAAATCTTTCAATAATTAATAAGGAATATTATATCTTTAGGGTATCCATACAGATTATTTTTAATTATTTTCTAAATATACATCTTTTTATTATTTTCATTAAAATAATTTATTTAAAAATAATTATTAAGATAATTGCCACATGAACTAAAAACCTAAAGTATATTATTAATAAATTAAAATAAATTGACTAAAAAATATTATTTATTTATATCATATTTAAACAATATTCTAACTCAACACAAACACAATTATTTAATTTTTTATTTTTAAATATGTATTATTATTTGTTAAATAACTCCTAAGATGGGTAGGTAAAATCACGGGCCACGTTTTTTAAGTACTAGAGACTATTTCTAAAACAAACTTTGACACGTGTATGCATCATATTGGTCATTGACTGTGTGTGGAAGCGCGGTGGCCAAGGCCGTACTGGCGCGGGTCAGTGTAATAATCAAACGGCCTACCCACCACCTCTTTTTCTATATATAATTTACCATTTTCCTTCACAAATTCACATCCATTTTCCCCACAATCTTCCTTTTCGCTTAGTTCATCGCTAATCCTGTTTTCGTGTCAATGGCCGGTATTAAAGTTCACGGAATCCCCACTTCTACAGCCACAGCTAGGGTTCTAGCTGCCCTCTACGAAAAGGGCCTTCAATTCGAGCTTGTTAATGTTAAGTTGCATGAAGGGGAACACAAGAAAGAGCCCTTCCTCTCAATCAATGTGGGTTTTTAGCCATTTCCCTTGTCTTGGTTTTCTTTGATTTTTCTGGGGTTTTCACTCACTGAATGTTTTGTTGGTTTGATTTTGATTTTGATTTTGATTTTGATTTTGGTTGCAGCCCTTTGGTCAAGTTCCTGGATTTAACGATGGAGATCTGACGCTTTTTGGTAAGATTTACTTTGAGAGAGGGAGAAATCGTGGGTTTTTGTGACTTTGCACACAAGGTGTTTGATAAAATGTTGTGTGTAGAATCCAGGGCGATCACGCAGTATATCTCGGGAAATTATGCTAGCAACGGGACCGAGTTGATTCCGAAAGACTCCAAGAAAGGGGCGGTCGTGTTAACGTGGATCGAGGTGGAGAGCCACCATTTTGACCCAGTAGCCATGAAACTGGTGTTCGAGTTCTGCCTAAAGCCATTATTTGGGCTGGGTGATGCAGATCCTGCAGTGGTTGAGAAAAGCGAAGCTGATTTAGGCCAAGTTCTTGATATCTATGAGAAAAGGCTGTCCGGGTCCAAATACTTGGGAGGGGATTCCTTCAGCTTGGCTGATCTGCACCATCTCCCCGTATTAGGCTACCTGTTGGCTACACCGTCGAAGAAACTGTTTGAATCTAGACCCCATGTCAATGCTTGGGTGGGTGATATCATAGCCAGGCCATCTTGGGCCAAAGTTCTTGCTCTCCGCAAGTGATGGAGCCTTGACTTTGCAGATGAGTCTTGATTTGTGCTGATCATATCATCACAAACTTGAATAAAAGACTGTACTGTGGTAGTGTCTTCTCTGTAGGTCCTCTCTGTGTTCTGTGTGTTGTGTGTATCATCATGTAACGAGCTTGGTGCTTCTGAGTATGATGAACTGGGTCTGTGTGATTATCATATTCAGAGGAATTGGTTGCTGTACATGATGAACTATTAGATCTCTGAGTTTGTTTTTTTCCTACTTCATATGAACATTGATAGTAACTTTGAGCGTGTGGAGTGCTACGACACTCATTTCTCCTTTAGTTGTAATTGGGGAATAGAACAATCTAGTAATTTGATTATGATCTTGTTAGGATAAGATCTTATTATATGGGATAAAGTATTCACAATAATTTGATTATGATGTGATTCAAGGTAGCAACCAAATTAATTTCTATTTAAAGTATAATTAAGACTACATAATTTTATATTTTATTAATTTAACTAATCAACCAATATATACTTTACGTTTTTTTTAGTTTAATACTGAATTAAGTATATGCTTAAGAAAATAAAAAAATGGTTAGCATAATTAGTGGTAGTTTACTAAACTCATTAAATTAAAAAATTCAAAATAATCCAATTTATGGGGAAAAAAAAATAAGGTTTCGGTGGATTATAAGTTCTCAAAATTAGAGCGGCAGGACCTCCCCTTCAGTATTGTCACCGCATTAAAATTTAACCAAGTAGTTCCTTTATGCCTAGGACACCAGAATGATTATGAGGCGCACCAATTTTTGACTCGAGAGGGAGTGCAGAGCTTTTTTATGTTTTTTTTTTTTTTTTTTTTTTTTTTTTTTTTTTTTTTTTTTGTTGGAAGAGTTGAACAATAATTTTAAGAAATCCAAAATAAGAAGAAAAATTTATTATTTATATAAAAATCAATGGAAATATAATTAATTTTAACCTAACTATAAAAGAATTTATGGAAATATATAAATTAGATTATAATATTCATTATTTTACAAGGAAAATTTGAATGAAAAAAAAAAAGGGAAAAAGAATAAAATAAAGAGGTAAAGTTTAAACGTCTAAACAAATGGAAAATCCGGGCAAAATATTTGAACCAATCAAAGAAGGACGTGATGTTAGGTGACGTGTACGGTCACTTTCGAGTAAAATATAAACTCAATAAATAATTATTAAAATATAAATAGTTTTTAAAATTTGTAAATCTATTAATACAAAATCAATACAAAATAAAGAGTTTAATTATAATTAATTAATTAAATATATGTTTATATATTAAATAAATGAAGATTTTAAAACTAGTTTATCATAAATAAGTAAAACCCTAATTTCTGTAGAAGCTACTTTTAAAGGCGAGCCCAGGTACTCACTAAACCACCTGATTATTACCCATAGTCTTTCAAAAAAAAATTATTTTTGAAGGTAGATTATCCGGTAGATTTGTTTTTTGAAATTACTTTTGAATTAGATGATCTGAAAATTCCAATTTTATCACTAAATATGGAGATAAAAATAAAGAAATTAAATAATCTCAAACAAATTTGTCAGAATATTCTGTTTGTGTTTCTATGTGCTTTGAAGATTAGACCTCTAAACCTGTAACCAATGCAGACTCTTCCAGGACTTTCTCACTGCCTCCTTTCTGCTTCAGAGCTGAAACCATTACAGGCTCAGAGAGGTATTTAATGGGAGCTTCAAATCTGCTACCAATTACCATCTCCATTACTAAGAAAACTATGGACGCCCAACAATGGATGGAACTCTGCAACTGTCTCCGTTCAAGAGGTTATTCATGTCGTTGCCACTCAGTCCTGCGACCTAGAGAAAAGGACTATTTTACACTAATAAGACTCCTAACCTCTATCTAGTCCAGTAAAGATCAGGGATGGTCTAAATGGTCCAATAAGTTTCTCGTCGAGATCGTGAAACTCTCACTCGAGAAGTACGTATGCTAGTCCTTATTTGGTCATAAGAATAATGGTTCTTAGTAGGTCAGAGGCAGTCAACCAAGGGGTTACCTGGGATTGATAATGGCATAACCAAAACAGGATAGAGGAAAGAAGGTTACGCGCTGAATGCATCTGTTTCAGGTACAGAGGCGATGAGGGGATCATGAGCCCTCTTGGAATGATTTCCTAAGTGCTTCTTAAGCATTTACAAAGTCATTACAAGCGGGCATGGAACTCGATATCATGGGAAATGGGGCAGCCTCTTGAAGCTCTCAACAGAACTCGACCCCAGATCCTTCTTCAGTCCTTCCACTTTCATGATCTCTCTCACTTTCTCAACCTCATTCCATTTCCCCATCTCTGCACAGATATTGGATAAAACAGCATAATAAGCACCATTCTCTGGTTCCATTTCTACAAGCTTCCGTGCTGCAAATTCGCTAATTTCCAAGCTCCCTTGTGCTCTGCTACCAGCTAGCAAAGACCCCCACATTGCTTTGGTGGCGTCAAAAGGCATATTCTTAATCAATTCAAAGGACTCCTCAATACAACCAGAACGAGCCAAGAGATCAACCATACATGAATAGTGTTGGATTCCTGGAGAAAACCCGAACTTACCGTCGATCATCGACCCGAAGATCTGCCTGCCGATGTCCACCAAGCCAGAGTGGCTACAAGCACAAAGCACTGTCACTAATGTCACTTCATCTGCCTCAACTCCTCCTCCTTCATCCATTCTCTTAAACCAAGCAATGGCCTCCTCTCCGCTTTTGGCCAATGCCAGCCCGTTAATGAGTGCATTCCATGTATACACATTCTTGTCTTTCATGGCTTGGAAAACAACCAATCCCTCTTCGATTCTTCCACATTTCCCATACATATCAATCAAAGAAGTTCCCAAAATCACATCCATTTCCCACCCTCTCCTTTTCACAAACGCATGTATCCAAACACCCATTTCAATGGCTCCAAAGCTCGCACAGGCAGCCAATGCATTAACCATCGTAACACGATTAGGCTCCACACCTGCATATTGCATCTGCTCAAAAGCAATCAAAGCATCATCAAACATCAAAGCAACTCGATAACCCATAATCAAAACAGTCCACGACACAACATCTCTCAGAGGCATTTCGTCGAACACCTTCTTGCATAACCCCATTCTCCCACACGACGCATAAACATCCATCAACGAATTCTGCACATAAACATCAGAAACATAGCCCAATTTCACAACGTGGGCATGAACGGATTGTCCACTCACAAGGTGGTTGAAATCAGCCAAGGATTTGAGAAGGAAAGGAAAGGTGTAATTATTGGGAAGAATGGAGGTTCTGTTCATGTGGGCGTAAATGGAAAGAGGGGTATGGGGGATTTTGGAGTGGGAGAAGGCTCTGATTAAGGAATTGCAGACGAAGACGTGGGGTTTGGGGATTTGAGTAAAGAAGCGAAGAGCGGAATCGAGAAGTCGAAGATGATGGCAAGTGTTTATGAAATGGTGGGCTATGGTGGGATTTGAATGGAGGTTTTGAACGATGAGCTGAGCTTGAATTTGAGGGATGTGAATTGGGGACAGAGAAGTGGCGAAAAGGGAGAGAATCCTGTTTGATTCAGCCCACATTTGAACGCCAAAAGCTGCCATTAGTCGAAATTGTTAGTTGTTGTGATGAACTCTACTGATGAGGGAAGAAGTCCCTAAATTATTTCCATACAATATCCGTCTTAAAACCCTCTAACAAATATATTCTCCTTCCTATTATATTTTTTGCTCATAAAATATCATTAAATTTATAGGATAGAATTATATTGGAGACCAGAAATTATCCATTAAAAATTCCTTAAAAATCAATATTTTTTAAAATATATATAATTTTTATATATCCTAAAAATAATTAGTTAACTCAAAAACAATAAAATAATCATTTTGGTGTCACTCAATAATCACCGACTTACATATTTAACATATTAACATACCTACTAACCATATTATCCAATTTAATAAAATGCGAAACTATAATATTTATCACCAAAATCATTATTTTTAAAATTTTTGGTTGACAAGTTTTAATTAATAATTAGTGAAGTTAATAAAATAAAATAAAAATGTGTGGATTATAATAATGCACGAGGAGATTAAGCCTACCAAATGCGAAGTCCAAAATGAAATGTGAAATTATATTATACTTGGCGTAGTTGATCAATCTATTTTTATTTTTTCTTATTTATTATTATTCTAATAAGAATATTATAATAGCTTATATTTTCCCGTCTCTGTACTTTCAACTTTTGTTCATTTTAAAATGCTCTCGTCCCAACTTAAAAGGTGACCATTTTGGTACGAAAATATACATGCCCGCCGAATGTATAAGGGCAAAAATGAACCAAATATACAAGGATATATATAAATAATATGGCTTATTAATTATGCCAATATTAATGTTAAATACTAAAATTAATTAGGTATAATAAAAGTCTACTTTCAATATTTTAAAAAATAAGGTATGATAGGAGATTAACCTGTTTTTTTTAGTATATATACTAGTGTGTAATCATTGATTTATTAGTATTTTATTATTTAAATCAAAGCTTCCAGCCTGTCTTCAGACTTTTAATAAGTCTTGGCTTGAAAATAAAGAGTGTAAATAAATCTATTTTTCAACTCATTTCATTTCATGGACAGAGCCAAATTAATGAGACAATTTTTATAGATCAAAACAAAACAAATATAAATAATAAACAAAAATCAGAAGACCAATTCCAACCAACTTGCTTGCATATCAATATAAAGGATTAAAGGGGGTTGTACAGACATACCAGGAATAGCAGATAAAGCAAGAATGGCGGCCAAGCTTTCTTTTCTCCTTCCATTTTGCTTCATCGCTGCATTCCTGACCGTCTTCTCCACTGCAGTATTGGCCACCACCACAAAAGGCCCGAGTTGGGTCCTCGATCGACCTCTAGCTACCTGTCATGGCTCCATGGCAGACTGCATGATGGACGACGTTGAATTTCAGATGGACTCCGAAATCAATAGACGCATATTGGCCGATGTAAACTACATAAGCTACGATGCGCTCAGGGCCAACAAGGTGCCATGCTCACGCAGAGGAGCATCTTACTACAATTGCCAGCCAGGTGCTGAGGCTAACCCCTACAACCGTGGCTGCAGTGCTATTGCTCGTTGCCGAAGCTAACGACTTGTGTTTTACTTTTGTTACCAGAGATGAGCAGTAGTTGTATGAGGTCATCATAGAGTATAATCATCACTATATTATCAATAAGAAATCATGCAGAAATAGCAAGTACAAGTCTAGAACATATTGCACTTTTCTGTTTCATCCTAAGCATTGGCTTCAATTTCACAAAGGCAATAGCAAAAAGAGAATATTGCAAGTTATCAAACTCAACAATAAAGCATACACTCTCAACTATTTCAAGGCAGAACCTTCATCTTTCTTCACTTCATCTGCACTCGACTTTGAAGGAGTCATCGGCGACGGTGAGCCCTCAACACCCATCTCAGATTTTAGATCGTTGATGCTCTGCTCCAATTCATTTATGCGGCTCCCCATCTCATCGAGTATACTCTTAAGTTAAGGAAAGCTTGTTTACTATAAGTTATTACAATAAAGCTATGCTATCCTACAATCTACTTCTTTTCCAAAAGCTGTACTAGAAAGTCAAACGAATTGTGATATAACGTTCACCGGATCATTGTTTGATAGAGTGAAAGAAAATGATAATGCTCAGAAATTGCACCATCTAGCCTATTAAACAAATAAATAAATATACGAGTTATTTCGCAAAACTCAAAAATCAACATGTATCCAAGCGTATCGGAAACAATTAATCATCATAATTACAACTTTAGAGAAATGCTAAAAATAAATAGAATTATTTAGAAAGGATATTCTTTGTGATAATGGAGTCAGACATGGTTTGGAACCTAGATTGCTGCATAAAAAAGATTTTGTTAGACATAAACTTCTCTGCCAGAGACTTGCACTAAACTGAAACTCACCATCTGTTGAAGAAGATTTTGCACCTGGAAAAAAGAAGAGGAGTAAATACCAATTTAACGATAAACCAGCAAGAAACAATCAAGAATGCCTTAGGAATCAAATTGTAGACAGAACAAGAGTATACGTCAAAAGGGAAATGACAAACTTTATAACATCAACCTTTTGAATAACGTAGGCTTGACTATCAAATGGGGATAAACAGAGAAAATGAACTCACAAAAACCGTCATATCAGCCGTGCTTTGCTTCGTATCTTCAGAGTCATGCCCATCCTGCAGGACAAAAAGAGTAAGACGTGTATTTCATACTGTCACACAATGGTACAAAAACAAACCAGCCAAATAATATGAACAATAATAAGTCAAACAAATAAGAACCACTGGAGGTGGAGGGTGACGAAAAAGAATTAAGATCAAGCATCAAACATCTTCAGTATTGACAATTACATTTAACAGTCTGATTCGGGTATGTTAAAATCATATGGGAATAGAAATCAGTAGCAATCTATAGATAAAACAGTGATCAAAAAAACCTAGAAAACTGATGTTTTGGTTCCTGGACACGGTCAAATGATCTTTATCCTCCCAAAAGCAATCAGCCACAACTAAGAGAATATACAAGGGCAATACAAAAAGACCCAAAAACAAAAAAAGTTAACAATATACAAAATTACAAAAAAGGGCTATAGCTCAAAAGGATGATGGATAAAGGGTAATCGCAAAAATCCTTAGTAGCCAAGACCTAGAAGGAGGCAAACCTAGCCAAGGCCCAAATTTCCTCCCTAGAACTCTCCATACACAAGTATCATTCTATTTCTTTCAAGCTTAGATATTCCATAAGACCACAAAGAAAGCAACATGCTAAAGAAACATCCCTCTATCTCGAAACGGGTGGAATAAGACCTACTAAGTCAAAGCCTTATCCGAACTGATACGGGTCACTTGGCACCAAAGCCTCCAAAAATATGTCCCAAATTGACTCAGGAAACTAAGAACCCCCCTTAGAACATGATTCACGTTGCACCATAAGGGCCTAGAAGGGCAGAAGACAATATTTGGATATGGTCAAGTGTGCTCATCCTCCCATGAGAAAAATAAGGGATTTGACAAAAGGAAAAGACAATCATATGAAAAAGGGAGGATCCACAAGCAAATACTATCGAGAAGACACAAGGATTCCACACACTATCGAGAAGATTCGGTCTCTCAATTTCAAAACCACACCATATTACATGGCATGCAGACATCGACCAAATCAACAACCGCAGCTTTTTAAAAGATCCCAGAGAGATTGAAATCTTAACACATTATCACATTAACGAGGAGACGAAGCTTTGAACCATCAATCGATTCAAAAGTTGAATCCTAGGGAAAACATGATGTTGTAGCCATGAACCCCACAAGAAAGTTACCAATAACCGAACCCCAAACCAACCTTTAGTATCTAAAACCTAGGTGATCTAATGGGCATTGTTCAAAGTGAGCAAAAGGTTACAAGACGATTGAACAACTAAAGCTGAACAGAATCATTTGACGACCAAGCGAATAAAATTTACGACAGAAATTCATGTCAGAAGAATAAGGAAACCCGAAGGGATTTCGCATTCCATCAAAAGTTTCACAACTAAGCTATGCGAATTGAAAACACGAGAGAAATGACATTCAACAGTTGAAGAGGGGGAAACGCTCACCATAACTGCAAAACTGGATCTTCAAGAGACAATCGGGAGATAATGCTAAAACTCGCGATGCCCAATCGTCCGGTTAGCGGGTGAAGAATGCGAAAGAAGAATGTGGCGAATGGCTGTCTTGCTTGCTTAAGTGATGCTCATTTCGCCCCAACTTTCTACAAAGTTACCATTTTGCCATTCATCATTGTGAAATGTGATGAACACATTAATTTTGTACAGATTTAGATTTAAATGGTCAAAATTTAATTTCTTTAAAAAATTCAAAAGCAAATTTAATTTTTTTCAAAGTTCTTTAAACAAAATATATATATATATCTCAATTAGCATATCATCAAATTTCATAAAATTTCTACTACATAGGTAGAATGACTATAAAAACGAGGCTGAGGCTAAAATTGAATTGAAACTGTTTCTTTAGAAAAGATAATTATAAAGAAAAAAAACGACCATTTTGGTAGTAGGAAATACAAAGCACGAAGCTCATGTTTCATACAATCCAAAGGGTATTTTAGTCTTTTCATTTCTGAACGAGTGAAAAGTTTTGGAGGCATGACATTCAAATTTTCAAAATTTGAAAATCTTATAACTTTGCTATAAAATTGTTGTCATGTTGTGAAAGAAAGCAAAAGAGGCAGTTGGGTTGGGAAACGTTCAAACTAAAGCCAACATGATTGCTTTTCAAATTCAAATTACAGTAATTTCATGTTAGAACTCCAGAACCCAAGCACAACTAAGTAAAATATGATTCAATTGTGTTACAAAAGTAGTCGTAAGAATAAAACCTACTAAATACAAGTAAACACAGCAGCTTTCAAGGGTGTCTCCATTTCCAAGATGACAATAACAGAGGGCAAAAACTCGAACTAAATTAGCCTAAAATTTGATGCTCGACACCCCAAAGTTGACCTGATCGCGTTCCCCCACGGTATCAAACGATTCCCGGGATGAAAGTAACACGAGAAAGTTAGCTGAAAATCAAATATGGAAAATGTAAACTCTATGCAATTCAGTCTATAATGGTAATGATACTACACAGATGAAGAGCTTGAATTTTTTATTTTTGTTTCCTATCTGATGCTTCGCTGTGAACATAAGGATGCTCTGCTGGTCCACACCACAAACCCCAAAGCAAAATTAGGTGAAGACTTAGAAGCAAGATGGAGGAATACATATTAGAAGGATAGACATTCCAACAAAACTCTATCCCTGCAAACAGAACCAAACTGCAAAAAACGGAAACAATATCGATATATTGTACGCGCCCAAATTGATCCAGAAAAGAAGGACGAGTTATTCTAGCTACGTACCGTAATAATGTAGGAAACGGCGTCCTCCACAACAGATATGGAAGGGAAAAGAAATACCTGCAGCATAACCAAATATGACGTTTAGAGCTCATACCGCACTGCTTCGGATCTGATGAGTTATATGAACGTGATAATCAAATATTATTCAAATGAAATTTCGACACCATTGCTTGAGGATCGGATGGCGTGTTCGTAAAAATATGAGATGCAGTCGTTAACAGGTGGTTCGAGATAATTCATCCTTTTCCATTAATTGTGAAGGGATTGAGTTACTCAGCTTACCATGAATAGAACTGATAATGCAATGATCGAGCACACAAAATACCGATGAAATTCCCGACAAACATCGTTGTTACGACATCTGAGCCAATGAAACAGTTAGATGAATCGAGCAAAGGAAATAAGACATATTACAATTTACATCAAACATCGTTTTAGTACCAACTTACGTTCTTCCTTAAGTAATTTGAAGGATGACTTGTTATTGGGAAATCTAAGTTTAATAGAGAGAAACCATGAATTGATGAAAATCAAAAGCCCACCTTCATGCCTGGAAGAAAATGAACAAATCTCAAATATTGCTGCAAATGCTCCAGAAGATAAACTAATGCATTCATAAGACTTATAACCCACTGAACGGCCCAATGTTTTCTCTGTAAATCTTCCCTTTCTAACAGGCTCAAATAGAAGATTATCACCATAATAACATTAGTTTCTACTTTATTGTCAGTAGTTAAAGCACTTACTTGCACCACTTGTAATGAGCAAAAACTGCCAACAATATCAGGTGAGCAATCAGCAACAAAACAGCAAACTGTTTTGACACAAATATTGGCTCGGGGACGAACTTGAAGTTAACAGACCTAATACATCAAAGCACAAACACTTCGAATTGAAGAAACAAAATTACAAATAAAGATGATCTGAATCAACTATCTTTTATCGTTTAGAAGATGGCAATAAATATGGTATAAGATGTTCTTAAAAAATGACAGCGCTTTGGAAGTAAAGTGAGATGTACCAAAAGTGGATGAAGACGCGCCCAAGATTGAAAGCTTTTGATATGTATTCAAATGAATGTGAAACTATAAAAGGAAGCGCCAAAAGAATCTGCAAAAACGTTGATCGAGCAAATGTAAATAGATGACAATGCATCCTCGAAGATGAAGTAAATAGCAATTTTAAAAAATTAAACTCGTCCAACAGTCCGTATGGAAAAGAAAGATTATGTACTAGCTACTGATGGTAAACTTGAGAGCACTTATGAAACAAATCTTATGGGGAAAATAATCATATGTCAAGAAATACCATAAATAAGTTCAAAGTTAAAAGCACTTTTTTAACTCAGAAGACACTCAGCTGAAGAAATTCAAAGTTAAAATAGGAAGCAAAGCACCTGCACAAGGGCGGCCCCAGCTAAAGCCATTATCACTCCACCGATATCCATAGCCTGTAACATAGTTTGAGTTGTCTTAACAAATAATCTGAACAAAAATAAACTTGGAAACTAAGGTAAGTAAACAATAAAAACGATAACGAGAATTACCTTTAACATCAGAAGTAATAAAGGTGGGGCATATAGAAGAATGTTCATCTTTATGGAAACAGCAAAACTGCAGAAACGGAATAATGAGATGTTAAAAGTGATAACATAAAAATTAAGATAATACTATAACAGAGATAATGATACCTGAAGATGATTAATCCAAGGTTCCACCTTCGTAAAAGAACTAAGGCCAATGCAGCATGAAGAAGAGTCATGGCAAAGCAATCATTGAAGAGTCGGAGCACAAAGATCGAGTGCACTCGTTTGGAGAGGGAGAGTAAGCAAAAAGACCAGAATGGAAGCTGGAAAGCAATCAATTTGAAAAAATTTGAAGATTAAACAACTTGTTGCCATCGAAGATATACTACTACTTTCTACACGTAATAGGTGCTAGTCTCCGATAAGGTCAAGGCTGTAAGGACTATTATATTGCCTGCTAAGCTGTGTTAAGGCACCTAATTTATATTCTGCAGCATAAAAGAAGTAGAACAAGAAAAATGAACGAACATAAATGCTTACCGCATCAGTCTTCGCATAGATAAATAAGACAATTCCCAGATTTATAATGTACAAGACACCAAAAAGAATCTGCAATAATAGAATTTTATTACCACTCAGGAACGAAAACAATATTCCCAGAATTTAGCACATGAAAAAAATAAATAAATCAATAAAATCCTATATTCTAATGAATGAACTGATGTTTAAAACAAATTACGGCAACTTTTGAACAAGAACAAGAGTTCGTGCACATTAATAATTTGAAATTAACGTGAACCGCTCCCGAGGATCACGAACCGGTCGAACCAACCCTTAAAAACGTTGAACCGGACCCAAACAACAGAAAAACACCCAAACCGCCTCTTCGAGATTTTTTAACACGGTATCGTTAATTTTTCCAAGTCACCTAATTATAGTTCTTACAAACAACCATGAAATAACAAAAAATCAGTAAGGTAAATGACAGTTCCTTGATCTCTACAAGGACAAAGTATTACCTGCGCTGGATAGACCTCTCCTCCTGTGACATGCTGTATGGCAGAATAAATGTACAAAAACCCAGCAGGATAAACTAGAGGTCCAGTGTCTCCTTGCAATTTGCTGTAATCTCTCTCCCCTCCCAAAAAACCACTTACCTGCTTGAAAATAATACCATGATGTAAAACCCATTAAACCCACCCAGAGAGATGTAAGGCCAATAGTACAAGATCAAACAAACGGCCATTAATGCCCAAGAAATGCTCTACTTAGAACAAAATAATGGAATAGTTCTGAAATTCTAAGCAAATTAATGTTATAATTCTACTACTAACAAGACTTACTTGCGACATGTAAGCGTCCCAATCAATTTTAGTATCTGGAACCAAACAATCAATGGCGTCAAAAGGATATATCGAAAATCCATTTTAAGAAGAACAGAAATGAGTAGAAATTCGATCTTACAGGGTACATATGCGATGATAAGGGCAACGAGGATAGCATCGGCCAAGATCAAACATAACGCAAATGCGAGCTTCGGATTTCGACAATAATTGTGGCGGGAATTGGCTAATTTGCGCGGAGGTTTCACCGATTTCGCAGCCATGGCCTTCCCCGTCGTCGAGCTGCCCTCCGTCCCCAGACCTGCAAGTCTGTTGACGTACACGGCGCTGGTCCGAGAAGCAGGCCGACCGAAATCGCCATTTTTTGATGGGCTGCAAAGTGGGCTTTTAACCAACGTGGATTTTACTTCACGTTCGCGCTATTTGAGCCCTAACGCTAATTGGACCACTTTGATGATTATTCCACCCCAATATTTGAGCCCTAAAATCGAAAAAATAGATATCTTAATCGCTAAGTTAAATGTTTATTAAATGCCGTTAACTTTTTTTTAAAGTACACAAAATAGAGCATAATTTCAAAATTAGCTACGTGTCACATACATATATTTGTATGCGATATAATTATGTCGTTTTGTCCACGTTTTCATCTTCCTCTCCTTCCACGTGTCCTCCTCCCTCACTCCTCCACCTCCTTAAATCTCCTATTCTTTTTCCCATTTTGTAATTCTCCGACAAAAGTATGGCTTCCACCGAGCTTAAGCACCGAACAACAGGTGACTCCCCCGCCGTCCCCGCCGCCGCCGACGAGGTTAGCACGAAGAGAGCAAAGAACAAGGCCATCGCCAAACGAGGCCTGAAGTCTCTAGCTGTGGCAGTCTCCATCCCCATCGCCGTCACCCTCCTCTCCATCCTCCTCCTTTCCAAACCCAAAAACTACTACCCCTCCGCCACCAAACCCTTCTGGGTTCCATCGGCAAGGGTCGTGAATTGGGGGTCGTTGGCTTCTAGCTTGTTGATGGGCATCTCGAGCTGGCTGTTCTGGGCTGAAGGCGGGTTCCAAGCTAAGCCCAACGCGCTGTATCTCTACACTTTGTACTTGGTGCTGTGCATGGCGTGGTACGGCCTCGTGCTCGGAGCCGGGTCGCGATGGCTAGGCTCGGTGGCTTGTTTGGGGAAGACGGCGACGCTGGTTGGGTGTGACCGGTTGTTCCGGGGAGTGAACGGGATTGCGGCGGACTTGGTTAGACCTTGTTTGGTTTGGTCTGTTTTTCTTACTATCGTGAGTCTCACAATGGTTTCTGTTTGAGGTCTAGTAATGAATAATATGGGGTTTTGTCTTGTGGGTTTTGTTTGGGACTTTTTTTCGCTTGTGAATTGAATGGTTGTTTGCGTTAATAGTTTTATTCTCTTCTAAAGTCAATAAGCATCGGGTTAATTTATTCGAGTTTATCTGATAGTATTATAATAAAACAATATAAAAATATTTAAATAAACAGTTGGTTGACCATGGTCAAAATTTATTAAATTCCATGTTTTTGTTTTTGTTGAAAAATAAAGTTGGGTATAAAAATCCCTAAGATTTATTCCTCGAATAATTTGAATTTTTGTAACCAAATTAATTTTCTTCAATATGTGTGAATTGGCTTATTTTATTTTTTAAATACAATTTCTATTAAAAAAAGTGCAAAATATCCTAATAAATTGCAATAATATTTTATACTTAAAAACATAGGAGTATTATATAACTAAAAATAAAAATACAATATGCCTAAATTTTTAAATAGTATTTTACACATTTATTTATTTAGTATTTTTGGTCTGGACAATTGCAATTAAGAAATGATTTGTTCTCCTCTACCAATCACGTGGAATCTCACATTTTTCGTTACCAAATGTTACTGTACGTGGAATCTCACATTTTTCGTTACCAAATGTTACTGTACGTATTCAAAAATTCCAATAAAAAAATTTCTTATAAATTTTTATGTTCCAATGCTTAAATGAATACGACTCTCCATAATAATACGATATAGTCGTACAATAGTATGATATTGTTCACTTTAAACTTAAGCTCTCAGGGCTTTATTAAAGCCTTTAGATCTGAGAAGACATCATACCATAGCATAAGTTCAAATAAAGCCCTTAGATCTGAGAAGAAGACATCATACCATAGCATAAGTTCTTATAGATTTGCTAGCATAAGTTCTTATAGAATAGATTTGCTTTCGGCTTCCCTAAAATGTCTTTTTGAGTTTGGAACAAAAACATACATTTTACCTTCCACCTAATAAATTCATACTCTGAAAAAGAACACATTCCTGACACGTCTATGAACAATGTTGAAAAAAAGGAACCGACAAGCGACAGGTTCATCTAATAAGAGACAAAATACCTTTAGAAGAAGGTGGTTCCACCTCCACAGCAGGGGAAAGAACTGGTTGAATCGATCCAACTTCATTCTCAGTTACCCGTCTAATCCTTTCAACTCTTCTCCTCATCAGCGATTTATGGATGAATCCATACATTTGGAGAATCTGATTATCCCCAAAATTAAACGCCCTCTCCATTGCTTTCAAGCATCGCTCAACAGGGTAATCCCCAGCTTTCCCACATGGCTTGCACCCTGTAAAATGAGTCACCAACGGCCGATTTCCCCCACTCATCTCCTCCAATTTGTCCACCAAAACCTCCCAATATCCATGGAGATTATATGAATTCTCTAGATAGATCTTGTTCCCCCATTTTTCTCTCTGTGTTGCAAGGAGATAAACCATGGCGGATTGATCATCTGCTTCGAAGACTGGCCTGTCTTTCAGCTCTTTCGTTAGGACTTCCCCTGCTTCTTCTCGGATCTTCCCTCTCGGCCCCATTGAAGCCCACGCATCCAGAATGTGAATCGACCATTGGCAGTTTCTCATCAAGAAACTCCCTGTATTCAGCCCAACCCAGCTTCTCTGATCGTACACCATTTCTTTCCAACCATGCATTACGAAATTGAAATCTCTATACCTCTCCCAAGGGATTTCAAACGACATGTCGGTGAACATTGCGTCGCTATCCATCCACCATATGAATTCTACTTCCGGATGCGATAGAAGAAGCGTCCGTATCAACGGAAGCTTCCCCCAGAATCCAGTCATTTCCGCATCCAAGACCGCTAGGTTATAGAAAATCTCGATTCCGTGTAACCTACAGTAATCAATTTTATTCTTAATCGATTTCAACAGGTAATGATCTCCAATCGGATTCTCACATTGTTCTGGCGACGATCCAGTAACCAACAAAACCCTAGGCTTACCCGGGCGGGTGAAATGACGAAATCCGCGATTGTTTTCAAGCCATTTCCTCCTCCGTTCATCCCAGTCGGAGATCGGCGGACCAAGTCGGTAGGGTTTGTCGGTTCCACCGGTGGATGACGTCGTTTGATGCTCGACGAGGAGACGGTTGCGGAAGGGGAAGCGGTCACGGAAGTGGATGAAGTCCCACTCGGAGGAGACGAACTTACCGGCGCCGATGGTGCCGCGGAGGACAACGACGGTGAGGAAGAGGCAGAGGATGGTAAGCTTGAAATTGCGGAGAGTTCTCTGGATTCTTCTCAACCTCGGCGGTCCCAAGCAGTTTCCGATCACCTCCATTATCCGGGGAGATTGGGAGGAGCTGAATCAGAGAAGTGGAGATGGAGACCCAGGGAGGAGAAGAGTTCTGTTACGAAGAGAATGCGGTGGAAAGGGGAAAAAGCCATGGTGTTGGTGTCGGTGTTGTGTGTGTAACTATGGAGCACACCTGTAAGCTTTCTATCAGAATTCGGGAGTCGAAACTCGGGACAATAAATTAGTGATGTTTCTGAAACCTCTGTGAGGGAAGCGGTTTCTTTTATTAATATATATATATATATTTCCAATTTACTTTTTTTTTTTTTTTTTTTTTTTTTTTTTTTTTTTTTTTTTTTTTTTTTTTTTTTTTTTTTTTTTTTTTTTTTTTGTTTATTTCGATCTTAAATCTTTAATTTTATATATATAACTTTTAAAATTTTAATATATTAATTTTATTTAAAGGTGTTTAGCAAAATATTAAATTTCCAAACAAATTTACACTAAAATTGGGTAATGTCGACCTCATATAAATTTTATTCGGTATAAATCAGTTAATTTTAAGAATAATTAAATATTTTTATAGTGCAATTAAACACAGATTTATTTTATATGTAATTAAATATTTATGTAATTAATAGTCGAAGCATAACGTTATCTACTACACTCCAACTAACATGGTAGGTAACTAGAAATATAATAGAACGTTATCTTAATTTAAGTACTAACGTAAACACGAGCATATTGGAGCATAGTACTATATGTTAGATGAACACGACTCTCTGCAATGGTATGATGTTGTCCACTTTGAACATAAGTTCTCAGGACTTTCCTTTGGGATTCCTCAAAATGTCTCATACCAATAGAAATAGTATTCCTTGATTATAAACTCATGATCATTCCCTAAATTAGCTAACGTAGGACTTTTATCAACACCTCCACTCAAACAAAGTATGTCTCCCCTTAATCGAGGCTCGACTCCTCTTCTTTTGGAGTCTTAATCATTTTTTACTATGCTTACTCATTTTCTTTTGGAGTTCTTTCGAAGAAGATTCTACTGACATGACTAAGTTAGAGCATGATTCTGATACTATGTTAGATTAAATGACACTGTGACCTATATTCATAGATGTGTATAATGAGGATTACATTGTAACAAACCATTAAATCATAAATTTTGTAACAAACTAGGAAATCAGTAGATTATCTTAAAATGATCCGTTTAACACTATAAATCGTGCAAGACCTTACTTTAACCGGTCCAATTCTCACATCCACAAATATAATAAAGGAATAAACTAAAATTAGCAATTAAAGTAGAGATTGGAATTATTTATTTTATTTTGGCTTATTTTTATATTGAATATAGTCATTTAAAAATAAAATATAAAATTAATAACCACGTGCAATATATCGTCTGGGCCAAATCTTAACGAATGTAATATTTTGCTTTTTAATTGCCTTCAATTTTGGATAGTGTATATATGTATTAATATTTAATTATTTTCTTAAAAAAATTAGATTAGTTATAATTTATATTATTTGATATCATTAATGTTTATATATTTAGACTAAAGAAATCCTCCAATAATAGTCATTGAAGAGATGTAGCAATAAATGTTGGACGCAAAAAGCATAATAATAAATATCAACACCATCCAAAGATATTCTTATATGATTTATTTATCTAATTAAATTTTAATTATTAATAATTTATTTCGAAGTTGGGTTGGGTTGGATTATCAGGACCACTTGCGGGTTGTTAGCTTCTGTCACAATGTGAAAATCACAGCATACTCTCTCCAAAGTTAAGTCATGATATTCTCTCCTACTTAAACGATGACTTACTTCACTCGTTCCTTTATATTATTTAAAATAATTATACCGATCCATAATACATATTATAGCAACATTTTAGAAAACTCAAACTTCCGACAATCTTAAATGTCGAGTAGGTTTGACAGAGAATTGCTGAGCTGATTACCGGTTTAATGGTTAAATTAAAAAAAAAAGTATATAAAGAGAAGAGATGGCACTAGGCAATTTGATTAGAACATCAAATAGAAAGGATTTAATATTTATTTGGTCCATTGAAATTTGAGACACACCAACCAAAGTCGATGCTAATAAATCCATCCAACTTCACCGATCGGCCACAATTATAATTTAGAGCCCAACCAAACAATCCCCTTCCAACTCCCCACCCCCTCCACATACACCCCTTTTTTCCATCTCCCTTTTAATCATTCTTCTTCTCATGAGGTGAATAAAATATTTGTAAGAATCCAGAGGCCTACTTAACTGATCTCTACCATCATCTTCCCTTCCTCTTCCCGGTCCTCTCTTACAGTTTTTCATTCTTTTTCTTCTTTTTATCGACACCCAGAAGTCGTTCTTCAATCGGAGAGGGAAGAAGAAGGAAGAAACAGCGATCAATTTACAGACCCATCTAAGTTTTTACGTCTGTTCTATCACCATGGTTGAAACAAGGCGTAGTTCTTTATCCAAACGTTCTCTCTCTTCATCCCATGGCTCTCCCCCTCCTTCTGGCACTCCAAATTCCAAAAGATCTAAGGTACTTTCTTCTGATGTCTCTCTGTTCTTGGGTCTTGGGTTTTGCATGCCACTGATTTGTGTTTTTTCCGATTGTTTCTTGGTGGGTTTTTGGTTAGGATTTAGGTGTGGGGTTTGGTTTTATGGGTTTTTGATCCGTTGTTGTTTTAACGGTAGGTTATTGAGGCATCGTCGTCTACGGAGGACGTTCAAAGCGCACCGCCTGTTGAGCCTTTGATTCCAGTTGAGGAATCTGGGGTTGAACCTGTAGACCCAGTCATACAACCAGCTGATCCGTTCGATACTGATTCGTTGAAGGTCAACAACGTATGTGATGAGGCTGTTCCTGAGGATTCGCACGATCTTCAAGCAGAAGGCGAGGCTATCATGACGCCGCTACCTTTAGGTGCCTTCCCAATTTGTTGTCTTATGCATGTAGTTCGATTGCTTGGACCTAGGTGTTTGATGTTAAATCTATTGGGGATATTGGGTTTGAATTGGATTTTGATCAATTTCACAATTCGTATGGAATTTAGGTGATGTTACAGCCGATGCAGAGAAATCTAAGGCGGTTGTGGCTACCTTGCTCAATCGCACCAAAAAGCGCACGACGAGGATGACGAAGTCCAATTCGAAGCCTGCGTGGGGAAAACTTCTTTCCCAGTGCTCTCAGGTAGACTCTTGCTATATAATTGTTTGTTCTTAGCTTGTCATCTTTAACAGTAGTTGTTTGAAACATCTGCATGTCTGGTTTGTGTGTCCTATGTTTTTTGCAATTGTTTGTCTTGGAGTCTTATACCATCAGCTAAGTTGTGAATTGCTGCGCGGCAGGAGAGTTGCCTCTATTCTTCCTCTTTCTCAATTACATGTTATTTCTTTTTTTACCTTCCTCAAAGTTTATCAGGGTTTTCCATATGAACTATCAATTTTGGTTTGCTTCATTGGAAATGTGAAATGAAATGAACGGAGCATGGATGTTTGATTACCTTTACCTACATGCTATGATGGCGTCGAAAGGTTTTGACTAATAAGTTGTGTGGCTAAAATATACCGATAAAATTTTGATGAATGGAACGTTTTCTTTAACAAGTTGCAAGAGTGGAAGGAATGGCTAAGGAACTAATTCACAGGTTCTTTTGATAATGATGATTTAGTTTAGATATCCTATGAAAATGTGTAGTAGATTCAAGTTGATGTTCGAGGAATCATTCAGATTTTTCTATACCTTTTTTAGGGGACTTTTATACTCGACATTTTAATTAGAGAAGGAAGTCTGTGCAAGTGGTGGAGTGTTTGAATAAAGATGACAACAAGGAGTCTAGCTTCTTTGGAACAACTTAGGGTGTTTCGGCCTTCGAGGAGGTTTTAGAAAGTGGCATTTATAATTGGAGTATTTACTATTTGTGGGACCTATATTTCCCTAACATTCAAAGAAGTTAAATTTAATCGCAAGTAGGAATAGTAGGTGTGTAAGACTGATCCCTTCCCCTAACATAGTTAGGGTAAGTGATGGCCAAGAGCCTGAGAAAAGGCCTCCCCCAAACTTTTGATGATTATTAATCTTGGTACCATGGCTAGAAGAACGCCACATGTGTATCATGGCTATTCCTAATATGGCTAAGAAACTGAGTTAATTGACTATAGAGATTGATGGCCTCCTTTCAAACATCAATTATGAGAAATCGAACAAGTCACAATTGGGTGGTCATTACCTCTCATGATTATCATCTCTTGGAATGTTAAAAGCTGGGGAGTTTGGCAAAAGAGAGCCTTCCTCAAATACAATCCCACTATAGTTATTCTTCAAGAAACAAAATTGAATTATGTTGATCATTGGATGGATAAATCTTTTTGGAGTGCCATACATATTGGTTGGTTAGCTTTGGATGCCTCAAGTACATCGGGGATCTTAATTATGTGGAATGACCCAACTCTGATAATTTCTGAAGTCACCAAGGCTTTACACCTTAACACCACATATTACCTTGGCCGATGCTTACATTTTTGGATAACAAGGATCTATAGCCCCGGTAGATATCGAGAAAGACCTTTCTTCTTGCAGGAATTACTGGACCTATCTTGCCTATGTATAGAGAATTGGCTTTTGGTTGGTGACTTCAATATCTCTTGATGGCACACGAAAATTCAGTGGAAAAGTCACCAGAGGCATGAGACACTAAAACAATTTCATAAGATAAGCTGAACTCATTGACCTTCCCCTCAGTAATGGTCTCTATACATGGTCAAACAACAAATCTCCACTCACCTTGACACTCATCGACAAATTTCTAGCCACAAAAGGCGTACTTGAAAAATTCATTAACGCTGGTGTTCAAAGATTGAATAGACCTACATCTGATCATTATCCCATCCTACTTTACATGAGTTGCTGTAAGTGGGCCCCTTCACCCTTTCGCTTTGAGAATATGTGGCTGAACCATTATGATTTTTTGTCAATGGGAGAATATTGGTGGAAGAATATGTCATTTCGTGGATGGTTGGGGCACAATTTTACGAACAAACTTAAAAGACTAAAAGAAGTCTTAAAGAAATGGAACATGGATGCTTTTGGCTGTATTTTCACAAAAAGAAACGAAATGCTTACGGAGATTGCTCTCCTTGATCAAATGGAGGAAACAGACTCTATTACACTAGTTCAACTCACATAAAAAAAAAAGAACTTTGAAAGCAGAACTTATTTTGTTGGCAGCAAAGGAAGAGCAATCTTTGAGACAAAAATGAAAGAAACGGTGGCTAAAGGAGGGTGGCATAAACTCCAAAATTTTCCATTGTAGCCTGGTTACAAAGAAATTAAAGAGTACCATCATGGAAATTCTATTGACACAAGGTAGAAGTTTAGTAAATGAAGATGAAATATCTCGATGCATCCCTCATGACAAATGAACTCATAGATGAATGGAAAAGAAAGAAATAAAAAGGCGTAATCATCAAATTTGACTTGGAAAAGGCGTTCGACAATGTTGATTGGATTTTCTTCGTAAACATTCTTGTGGCAAAAGGCTTAGGCTCAAAATGGTGGAGGTGGATAAAAGGATGCATCTCATCCACAAACTTCTTCATCATCATCAATGGGAGACTGAGAGGTAAGATTTATGCCACACGAGGTCTTTGACAAGGGAACCTACTATCCTTTTTTTACATCATGGTAATGGATTGGCTCAGTTGCCTACTGACAAAAGCAGAATACGAAGGGCAGGTAAAAGGTTTTCAAATAGGTAACAAAGGCTTAACATCAATCACCTTTAGTTCGTGGATAATATATTTCTCTTTTCTGATTTTTTGACTTGGTAGATGTCTCTTCCATAAAAACATGATCGAGACGGTAAAAACCTTCGAAAGATTCTCTGGATAAAATATCAATCTCCAAAAAACAGAGATTATGGGCATCAATATTAACACAGAGATTATTGAAGAATTTGCTAGTGTATATGGTTGTAAAAAGGGAGAATGACCAAATATGTCCCTAGGATTACCCTGAAAAGGAAACTGCAATTTTTTTTTTTCTTTCTCTGGAAGGCTATTATTGAAAAAATAGACAGAAGGCTGTTAACATGGTCATCATGTTATATTCAAAAGGCGGAAGACTCACCCAAATACCGACCATATTATCTAACCTCTCCATTTACCATGTCTATGTTCGAATGCCACAAAAAGTGGTTTCGGATATAAAAAAAGATCATTCAGGAACTATTTGTGGAAAGATGGCCCACACCTTGTTTGGTGGAATATTATGAACCTCCCCACAGAAAAGGATGAAGAACAAAGCTCTCCTCGCAAAATGGATATGGAGATATTCATCACTAAGAAAATGCCTTGGGGAGAAATCTTATAAAGGCTAAGTATACTCCTATATCAGACAAAAATCGGAGATATTCATCACTAAGAAAATGCCTTGGGGAGAAATCTTATAAAGGCTAAGTATACTCCTATATCAGACAAAAATCACCCTTCCATCTTCTACAAAGGCCTGGGAAGTACATAAAGAAACATCAAAACCTCATCACCAACTGAATTTGCCATAGGGTGGGTGATGGAGGAAGCACATCATTCTAGACCAACCCATTGATTGAAAACACAATGCTAGCCCTGCGTTATCCACTTTTGTACAGTTCTCTCATAACAAAAAAGCCATGATCAAAGAAACGGGGAATGTTGCAACAAATTATGGGACCTGAAGCTTTGTAGGAATTTAAAGGATAACGAAGCAACAAAATGGTCCGAATTAAGGCTTGACCTTGCTTCAGTGGTATTGTCAAATGAAGGAGACTCATTGACTTGGCTCTCCCTAATGCTGATGGGGTCTTCTCTACAAAATCTTTAAGGATGGACATGGAGAAAAAGTAGAAGTAATAAATCCCACGTTGACAAAGACGGTATGGAAAAAGAGACCACTCGAAAAAGGTGAAGTTCTTTTGGAAAATAATGCATAAAGTCATTAGCACAAGTGAAAATAAAAAAAAAAAAAAAAAAAAAAAAAAAAAAAAAAAAAAAAAAAAAAAGAAAAAAAAAGAAAAAAAAAGTTTACATTACTCTTTCTCTACATGGGTGTCCATTATGCAAGAAAAGAAAGGAAACAAGTTGCAAACCCACTTATTTATTCAAGGTACATACACCCAAAATTTATGGATTACGATTCTCAATATATTCCACTAATTTATGCAAGGTACATATGCCCAAAATTTATGGATAATGATTCCTAATATATTCAGATGACATCTCACATTTCCTAGGGAGGTAAAGGATCTACTGGACATGACCCAAACGTACCACCATTTCAAGAATTAAAAAGCCATACTTTGGAAAAACATCATCATGGCTTTGTTTTGGAATAGGTGGAAAGAAAGAAATCAAAGAATATTTGTGGAAAAAACACAGACTTATACAAAACTCTTCGACCATGTTGGTGTCAACAGTCTAATATTTTACTTCCTATCGTTCTACATCCCTCATCAATTGGAAACGTCTTTTCTATCCATGATAAATTTGTAATTTTGACAAGGAGGGGTTAAAATTATTATTTTATTTTGGGTTGTTTTCCACCTAGGATGGTAACTAATGTAATATTATCCTTTTGCTCTGGAGACTAACTATAAAGGTGTGGCTTCTGATTTGGCAATCAACCGCTCCACTAAAATCTTCATCTATGATATGCTTTCGTAGCCCCTTTTGGTTTAATAACTTCAAATATTGAGATTAATTACTCTCAGCTGACTCTTTGATTATGCTTCTGCAGAATCCACACTTAGTTATTTGTGGCACTCTGTTCACTGTCGGTCAAAGTCGTCAGTGTAATTTATGGCTTAAAGATCCATCTGTTAGTACAACACTGTGTAAGCTGAGGCACATCAAGGTTAGAGAAATTAGATTTCTTTCACTTAATTTGTTTTCTTTTCTTTGTCTGGAATGCGTGGTTGTACTTTATTTTACTTCTCATTCTGTCATTTATATTGCAACAGCGTGGGAACTCTTCCATTGCTTTACTCGAAATCACGGGAGGCAAAGGTGCTGTCATTGTTAATGGCAAGATTTTTCAAAAAAATTCAAGCGTAGTTTTAAATGGAGGTGATGAGGTCGTCTTCACTTCCTCTGGAAAACATGCTTATGTATCCTTTTGGAATGTTGCAATATAACCTTATTGGCAAGTGTAGCCTTTTTGTTTCTTCTTTCTTCTAACATTGGTTTTCCTTTCTTACATGCAACAGCGCGTATCTGTAATAAATTCCTTAACGTAACCCTCAGATATTTCAGCAGCTCACTAGTGATGATTTTGCTGTTTCTGGTCTGCCTTCTGTAAACATTTTAGAAGCCCATAGTGCTCCTGTTAAGGGGATTCATTTTGAAGGAAGGTCTGGGGATGCCTCAGCTGTCACTGGCGCATCCATATTGGCATCTTTTTCAAATATTCAGAAAGATTTGTCTCTGCTTTCCCCATCTGCTAAATCCAATGAAGATGTGGAGTTACCCTCTGTTTGTGGAGTGTCAGATAATCAGAATCCAGACATTAATTTGAAAGATGGTAGTACTAATAACAATGACATAAATGGTGAGGCATCTATGGACAAAAGTATCGAACCGAGTCCTCATTCTGCAACTGAAAGCCCCAGTCTTGATAGGCTTGGACTAGATGCTTGTAATGATTCAGAAATTGGGGAGGTCCCTGGGGCAACTCATGAATTACGGCCACTTTTACAAATGCTAGCTGGTTCGGCATCTCCTGACTTTAATTTAAGTGGCAGCATTTCCAAGATTCTTGATGAACAAAGGGATATAGGGAATCTCTTTAAGGATTTCAACCCTCCTGCTATGCCGATGTCAACTCGACGTCAAGCATTTAAAGAAAGATTACAACAAGGCATTCTTAAACCTGACAGTATTGATGTTTCTTTTGAGAGTTTCCCATATTATCTAAGGTGATAGTATGATTCCCAAATTGTCAATTTTTAATAATTGTTCCTTTTTTCTTTTCATTCTTTGCCTTGCAATTGTTTATTATATATATTGACCATAGGTGCCATCTCGGTATGGCATTTTGGAGTCTCTTATAACGATTTTGGCACTATTTAAGTGTTTTCTTTTCTGAAATTTGAAAAAAATACTCAATTGATATATATCTCAACACGGTAAAAAGATGACAATTTTTTTTATTAGTCAAAAGCACATTTAACGTATTGAGAATAACAATCTGGAACTCTATTAAATTTTGTGTTGAAGTACATACGGACTGCGATATGTTCTAAATCTTTACGTGACTCTACATCTTTTTTCAGTGATACCACAAAAAATGTTCTTATTGCATCCATGTTCATTCACTTGAAGTGTAATAAATTTGTAAAGCATGCTTCAGACCTTCCTATTTCGAGCCCACGTATCCTCTTGTCTGGACCTGCAGGTTGGCACAGCTTTTCTCCCTTAAACTGTAGTTTAATTTCTTTTTTTCCATCTGATTTGTTTACTTGACATGGGTTGTTTATTACTTGAATGCTTACAGGTTCAGAAATATACCAGGAAACTTTGACGAAGGCACTTGCTCGGCATTTTGGAGCTAGATTACTGATTGTGGATTCTCTTCTTTTGCCTGGCGTAAGATTCAAATTTTTACCTTCTATCATTAACTTTCTTGAAACGTCATTTATCTGTCCCTTTATGCATTTCATAAACTTGTAAAGCCTCTTCAAGTGTGAAAGAGGTGAGATTAAATTGTGTAATCTTGTGAACCAGTGGTAAATTACGTACTTGACTTTGAGGAGTGAAAGGAAAGGGGAAATAATATTTTTTATTCTCGAGCTTTAAAGTACTTTGACATGTAAATCCCAGGCTTGGTTGTTCAATTCATGTTTGTGTTTGAACCCTTGCTAACATGCCTTCATCAGGTTGTGTCACTAAAGTTTGTCAATGAATTCAGGCACCGACCCCCAAGGATGCTGATATTGTAAAAGATAGTTCGAGGGCTGAACGGACATCTGTTTTTGCTAAAAGAGCTGTTCAGGTTGCTGCTGCTGCTGCTGCAGCAGCAGCAGCCTCACAGAACAAAAAACCAACTTCCAGTGTTGAGGCTGATATTGCAGGTGGATCTACCTTAAGCTCACAGGCTTTGCCGAAACAAGAAACATCCACGGCTTCATCAAAGACCACTGCTTTTAAGACAGGTATCTTCTTTTTAGTTACTATGTGATATGGTTGCTGCCACCACTGGTTCATCCCCCGTCTCCCACCTGTCTCCCACCTGTCATACCCACGATCTTATGAACCTCTCATTAATTTGTAGGTGACAAAGTTAAATTTGTTGGTACCTTATCTTCTGCACTTTCACCTCCTCTTCAAAGTTGTCCTCTAAGGTAATTCCTCCACCTGCACTGTATTTAGTGTCTGATGATCTGAAAGCTCTGGATAATTGTTGGTCGTAGGTTTTTAGAAGTAATTAAATGTTATTTCTGTAAACTTCTACATTTGTAAATTTCTGCTCCTTTTTTAGGCTATTTTTTTTTTCTGCCATCATTTTTCCATACATAGAAAAAGTGTTGTAGAAATGATCTTCTTCTTGTCCACCAGTTATGCTGTTTCTTCAGATATCTTATATTTTTGTCTTATGTGAAGGCCTCTTTGCTGTTTAACAACCATTCATAATTATGTGAAGGTTCTTTTTTCCTTTTATTCTTTTAATTTTAGTTTCCGTTCTCATTTCTTTTTTAAGCAGGGGACCGTCTTATGGTTGTCGCGGGAAAGTTGTCCTTGCTTTTGAAGAGAATGGATCCTCAAAAATAGGGGTGAGGTTTGACAAATCAATTCCAGACGGTAACGATCTAGGTGGCCTTTGTGAAGAAGATCATGGCTTCTTTTGTTCTGGTTATTCTTCCCTACTTGTTTTCTCTTGTTTGGGTTCCATCTGCAATATTTCATTTATATTTTGGCTAGAACTCTGCTTGTGTTATGATTGTTCTAAACCGACATTGCAGCTAATCATCTACTGCGCCTGGATGGTCCTGGAGGTGATGATAATGATAAACTTGCAATTGATGAAGTTTTTGAGGTACTCATTACCCTAAGTTTTTGAGGTACTATGGAGCTATGTTTCTTTTTCTATTGGTACTCACTGCAACACTGGCCATGTAGGTTGTCTCAAATGAGAGTAGAAACAGCCCATTAATATTGTTTGTCAAAGACATAGAAAAGGCAATGGTGGGGCACTCAGATGCTTACTCTATTCTAAAGGGTAGGCTTGAAAATTTGCCAGGAAATGTTGTTGTTCTTGGCTCCCACACCCATATGGATAATCGTAAAGAAAAGGTCAGCAGGGCATTTTTGTTGCCTCCTTCCCCCTTTATTCCGTTAAGAGTATGTTCGGTTCGTTTTAATCCCTCTTCTACCTGACCGTATATTTTCAGTCCCATCCTGGTGGTCTTCTATTTACCAAGTTTGGAAGCAACCAAACCGCGTTGCTTGATCTTGCTTTTCCGGTATGTTAACTTTGACCGTCCTTTTTTTTTGTTCAATAGTCTTGTGGTATTTCGTTACCTCCTATGAATTCAATTGTATCTATAATGTTTCTGTATTCAGGATAATTTTGGGAGATTGCATGATAGGAACAAAGAAACTCCAAAAGCAACAAAACAACTTAGTCGACTCTTCCCGAACAAAGTGACCATATTACTTCCACAGGTACTATGATCTTGTTTCTGGTTCGGTTGTCTTGCTGCTTTTGTCTATTGAATTCAACATGATTTTTTTTGGAATGTTGTTAGGATGAGGCCTTACTTTCAGAGTGGAAGCAACAATTGGAACGTGATACCGAAACTTTGAAAACACAGGCAAATATTGTCAGCATCCGCTTGGTGAGTGCTGCGCGATCATCTTGCTTCTAAATTCTCTTTTTGCATGTAAATGCCCTTTTTTTTTACTTTTCTTATTCATGGATTTAATGTGGTTTAGGTTCTCAATCGGATTGGTTTGGATTGCCCTAACCTCGACACTCTCTGCACCAAAGATCAAGCACTAACACTTGAAAGTTCGTATACCCGGAAAATTTTTTGTAAACGCTTTTTTATGGTTACTGGGTTCAACTTAAAAGTTGAAACTGCTCTTGTATTTCTCTTAACAGCTGTTGAGAAAGTTGTAGGCTGGGCTTTGAGTCATCATTTCATGCGTTCTTCTGAAGTGTTGGTTAAGGATGCCAAACTCATCCTTTCTACAGAAAGGTCGTCTACTTTTTCTTGGCCTCATCGGATTGTTGTAACAAACTACCACTAAGAAAACGAAGCTTTGCATTATTTTATTGTGTTCATGGTGGTTTGGTTTGTTCTATGCTGCAGCATCGAGTATGGGTTGAACATTTGGCATGGTCTTCAGAGCGAGAACAAGAGCTTGAAGAAGTCGCTCAAGGTAATCTTGTAGAACATCGGATCTTTCGACACGGAGAATGGGTTCTTAAATCTAAATTTAAGTGTGTTTGAACAATTTTAGGATGTCGTCACGGAGAATGAGTTTGAAAAGAAACTTCTCGCCGATGTTATTCCACCGGGTGACATCGGTGTTACTTTTGAAGACATTGGTGCTTTAGAAAACGTGAAGGACACGTTGAAGGAATTGGTGATGCTTCCTCTACAAAGACCTGAATTGTTTTGCAAAGGGCAGTTAACGAAGGTTTGCACTTTTTTTTCCTGTTCTCACAAATATGGACCATTGTACGGCTTGCTGACCTGTGGCTATGCAACTTTTATATTGGTCTTTCATCGCAGCCTTGCAAGGGTATTTTACTTTTCGGTCCACCTGGTACTGGAAAAACAATGCTTGCTAAAGCTGTTGCAACGGAGGCGGGTGCGAACTTTATCAACATCTCCATGTCAAGCATTACTTCTAAGGTACAAATGGGCTATTCGTGTGTCGTAACAAAGAACGAAAAAACAAACCCCTTCTTTCTGTAATGGCTCTAGTTCTGTAATCTTGGATACTCTCTGTAAACATTGTGCACCGTCTTTGTGTGTGTGTTTCTTTTGCAGTGGTTCGGAGAGGGTGAAAAATACGTAAAGGCTGTGTTTTCTCTAGCAAGTAAAATTGCTCCAAGTGTTGTGTTTGTTGACGAGGTCGATAGCATGTTAGGAAGACGTGAAAATCCAGGAGAACATGAGGCTATGCGTAAAATGAAAAATGAATTTATGGTGAATTGGGACGGGTTACGAACAAAGGATAAAGAACGTGTACTCGTACTGGCTGCAACCAATAGACCATTTGATCTTGACGAGGCCGTGATTAGGAGACTTCCTCGAAGGTGATCGATATCTTTAAACCAGCTCGTGGGCAGTGTTGTTAATCAATATCTTTCTCGTCTTGAACATATGTGACTGTTGTTTGTAGATTGATGGTGAACTTGCCAGATGCCCCAAATAGAGAGAAGATCTTGAGAGTTATACTCGCCAAAGAGGAACTGGCCGCTGATGTTGATTTACCGGCACTTGCAAATATGACTGATGGATACTCTGGAAGTGATTTAAAGGTTATATTTCTTGTTCTTGTTGTATTGAAAAGCTGATGAATATGCTAATCTTTTACCTTGGTTGCAGAATCTCTGTGTCACCGCTGCACACTGTCCCATCAGAGAAATTTTGGACAAGGAGAAGAAGGTTAGCCTATCATTCCTTCTGTTTTCTTTGATCTCTTGTAAAGAATCTGTGTTTCGAGTTCCGTTCATGAATTACAGGAGAGAATCTCTGCGTTGACCGACAACAAACCGATACCGGCGCTATATAGCAGCACTGACGTTCGGCCGTTAAAAATGGAGGACTTCAGATTTGCACATGAGCAGGTTGGTTTGTTTTTCTTTATGACTTGCAAGTGTTCTTTGTTCCATGACCTTAAGTCAATGAGTTGTTTGTTAGGTGTGTGCAAGCGTCTCATCGGAGTCGACAAACATGAACGAGCTCCTCCAATGGAACGACCTCTACGGAGAAGGCGGGTCGAGGAAGAAGATGTCTCTAAGCTACTTCATGTAGAGGTGATTGTATCTTTGTATAGAGTTTCTTTCTTGCCCTTACCCTTTTCATTTCTTTGATTTCCAAAATCGTCTCCGCTCCTTGAAAAGAGTGCAAGATCGGGGATCGATTAGAAGTATGGAAATCCATGTCGATGACGACGACCTGCTGGCCCTCGTCCCGTCCTCTACCTGCCATTGCCGCTATTGTATCATATATAGTTTTTTTTTCCTTACCCTCTCATTTATTTAATTCTCTATGCTTTTGTAGGAAGGAATTTAACAATTTGTTTAGGTAATTTGACCAAAACCTGTTTTTGTGTAGCTCTTCTGGTTAACTTGGGTATATACATTATCATCATCATATGTTTTACTAATCAATGAAAGTAATAATTGCCATTTTTGTAACATGTTTTCTTTCTTGCTTCAAGAGATTGTTTTCCGACGACCTCGTGTTGATGTGTATGCACATTTGGTCTACGACCTCGTAGATTGTCATTGTATTATGTGTAAAATGGCAGGTTGTTGGTATCAAAGCCTAGGTTATAGAACGTTAACGTTGTGAACCATATATACATGTGAGTGTTTAGGCGAGCACTACAAATAACTTGAGTGTCAAGTAGCTGATATTAAAACACGTTTTTTGAGCAAGTTTGAATCTCCTCGACTCGAGAAATGGAGTTGAGGCACATTGGCATCTAAATCTTCGTCGTTTTAAATTTTACTACGACATGAAATTAAAATGAAATAAATTTAAAAATAAGTTATTTTCTTTTATAAAAAAATTGATAATGCAAAATTCAAATTTATATCTAATAAATAATTAATTATTAGAATTTTAGCTTATTAAATACAAAATAAAAAAAATTAGAAAATCTATTGGATATTTTATAAAAAAATTTGAAGAGAAAATGACCAAAATAGAGCTACGTAGTAAACAAAATTACCCATTTAGTAAAAGGTATTGGCCATTAGCTAAGAAGTCGCACGTGCCAATCACAGAGAGCGGGAAAAGCCCAGCTGTCTGCAAGATTTACATTGTTTGTTTCCTCCGCGTCATTTGCTCTGAATATTCAATCAGTTTCCAATCGAATCCTATTTTTCAATTTTCCATTCAGAAAATTTTCCAATCCCTCGCGTTTCCGCCATGAGCGTCTTGTTCCACTCTTCAGAATTCCTCCTCCCTTCTTCTTCTTCTTCTTCTTCGTTTCCGGCAGAGCACCGCCGTTCTTCAACCTACGCTCTTGTTCTGCTCAACCAACGTCTCCCCAAATTCACTCCCCTGCTCTGGAAGCACTGTTAGTCTACAAATTCCCTGGGTTTTGATGAATATATTTTTGTGTTGATATGTTTTTGTGTATTGTTGTTGTTGAGCAGCACAACTTCGTTTGTGTGCCGATGGAGGTGCCAATCGCGTATTTGATGAATTGCCTCTGCTGTTTCCTCATCTAGACGCTTTGGATGTTCGTAATAGGTTTCCTGAATGTCTTTCTCTTCCATTTTCTTATGCTATGCATTTTTCCCATTATTACTCCCTTTTTAATGTGATTTAGTTTCTCTCTTTAGTTATCAAGTTTCGTGCCTGGGGTTTTGTTCTCTGTTTCTTTTGAAAATTCAGATGGCTAATGCGTACAAACCTTCCTACAGAGATAACTAATGGATATTTCTGTACTGTTTTATTTAGTATCGACTGCTATGTTATGACAAGCATTTAGGTTTATTATTATTACTTTTTTTTTGTTATATTTCCATTTTAGTCCCGATTATTTGTTTCAATTTGGTGGCTATAGCTTTAAAGTTTCAATTTAACTTGTGGTTTGGATGAATTTCCCAAAACGTTCCTTTCATTTTAAATGTTAGCTGTTTCTTATTAAGTTTTTGAAAATTTTCAAAATTTCGTAACTATTAGTTTTTTGTTCATCCTTCCTAACTAAACATTTGAATTCTTAACCAAATTGCAAAAGCAAAACCAGGATTTTAAAATTTAATTTTCTTAGTTTTTAAAACTTAGCTTGGTTTTTAGAACACCCCTATAATGTAGATACTAAAACAAAGAAATTAATGGATGGAAATAGTGTTTATAAACTTAATTTTTCAAAAACCAAATGGTTATCAAATCGGGCCTAAGTTATATGTTTTATAGTTCTTTTTTTCTTATTCCAGACTGTTCTTTACTGTTATAATGATGGACTTGTAATTCATGATTGTGTAAAGTAATATTATTCTTCCAGGAAAAAAAGACAAATAAACTCCCAAATGTGTTCCAAGTTTCAATATGCTATTGATACTAAAAGAAACAAATACCAGTGGCTGGCTGAAGAAGACATTTAAAGCTATTTTGTTGGGTTTTGATGTGTACATTCCATTCTCAAGCATTTCATGATAGTTGATATTATTGTTACGAAACAAATAAATTATTCTAGGATTATATATCTTATGTTTTGGTGACCGTGACTATACTTTGATACTATCTCTTGATTTATTTTTTTATTTGCCAGCTACAAGCCAGATGTTATTAGTGGAGACATGGATTCAATTCGGGCAGAAGTACTAGATTTTTATGATAAGCAAGTATGTCATTTTTTCCCTTTCTCCCTTGAAAGAGTTTAGGACTCATTTGATAAATATATTTTTTTTTCATCTTGTTTTCTCTCAGTTTCTTTACTATAGTTTTTATCGTTCTTGGGGGGACATTTAGATTCTTAACCAAATTCTAAAAATAAAAACTAGTTTTTAGTAACTAGTTTTTTTTTTTGCTTTCTAAATTTGACTTAGATTTTGAAAGCTTTTTGTAAAGATAGATGGTAAAACAAAGAAACCTATAGGTTGAAATAGTATTTATACGTTTAATCTTCAATAACTAAATGGTTATCAAACGAGTCCTTGGATTTTTCCAGGATTTTGCCATCTATTTTGAGACCACAGATAGTTCTTATTCTGTTCGTACTGGACTATCCCACTGATGGCTCTTTCTGCATCAAGGGTGTAATTTTTCCATTCCTATGTGTCGCTGAAATTCGGGCATTACTTGTTATCATGTATGCATTACTGGCTTAAGATATCCATATTCACATGGTGCAGGGGATCAAGATATTTGATGAATCTGAAGATGAGGATACTACAGACCTACATAAATGTGTTGCATATATTCTTCAGTCTATGCCAAATCTGGAGGAGTCTAATGTAGGTTGGACTTCGTTTGGCTGTTTACGTTCAATGATTCAATTACTACACTTCGTTCTGTGCTCTGACTTTTCAGATTGGCATTATAATGTTGAGCTGTTCATTTTCAGCTGTGTATACTTGTTGCCGGAGCTCTAGGTGGACGATTCGATCACGAGATAGGAAACATCAATGTACTATGCCGTTTCTCAACTACGCGCATAATCCTTCTGTCTGATGATTGCCTTGTTCATCTTCTGCCAAGGACTCATCACCATGAAATCCATGTTGACTCATCTGTTGAGGGTCCGCATTGTGGTCTCATTCCAATTGGGATGCCTTCTGGAAGCACTACAACCAAAGGTCTCCAATGGGATTTGAGTAAGTACTTTCGATATCGTACTTTCAAATTGTTCCCCTCCCGCCTTATTAGGCATCTGTGTCATGTTTCAAGTCTTAGGAATTACGAACCTCCACAATGGAATGATATTGTCTACTTTGAACATAAGTTCTCGTGACTTTATTTATTTATTTATTTTTTATTTATTTATTATTATTATTATTATTTTTTTTTTGTTGTTGTTAACGTTGGATTCATTCCAGCTGACACAGAGATGAAGTTTGGAGGTCTAATTAGCTCATCGAATAAAGTTAAAGGAGAGAAAGTAAGAGTGCAATCTGACACCGATCTTCTCTGGACGATCTCATTAAAAAAGCAATAAGACGGGGTTGTAGGATTGCGATGAGCTGGAGCTGCCATCGGCCTGATAGCCGATGCTAGATTTTGAGCCTCCGAGCCCGCACAGTCTTCGGCCAGGCATTCTCTGCATTAGGTAATGGAATCTTCTTTCTCCCTTTAAAATAAGAATAATTTTGAAGATCTACCCCTTCATCTGCCAGGTCTTTTAGCTTTCCATTTTCCGTTAAATTTGTTTTTATGTGATTAGGAAGTTGTATTGCTCTCTCTCTCTCTCTCTCTCTCTCTGATTTTGGAGATCAGTGCCATTATATATATATATAAAAAAATGTTAAAAGTGTATTTTGTAGCATATTGTTGGTGTATTTTTGGGATCATTTTAAATTTATATGAATGACGCTATAGTTGATATCATATGTTTTTTAATTTTTATACATTAATTGTTATGTCAATTTTCGTATGTTGTTTTCGAGACAACTAAACATATCGTCTATAAGAACTATTGAATAAGAAAAAATAACATAGCTTTAATTTACCCCAATCTTAATGTGGTGTGAATTTTACTATAAACTTTCAATTTTATTCAAAACTTATCAAATTTAAATAAGTGATACAATTTTTATTTTATGTTCAGTTTTGGTCCATTAAAAGTAATGAAAAACTATGTATAAACTTTCAACAATTCATTCATTTTAATTAAAGTATTAAATTTGGTACAAAATTAAGCTTGATCACTTGCATCAAAAAATAAAAATATAATAACTGATTATATATGTATATATATTATGTGTATATGACGCACGAAAAATATCTTTTTAACCTAATTAATTTTTTAGTGGCCCATTTGGAGAAACAGAATAATTATTAAAAAAAAAAAAAACTATTAAATACTTAATTATAACTTAAATATAATAAAAATTAAGTAAATAATATTAAACCCCCTTCTTTCAATTTTTTATTTTGTATCTAACAAACTTAAAAATTAATTGACTGGGTAGATATATATATTGGTAGAATCTTTAATTTAGTATTTAATAATAAAAATATTTATGAACGATAATAAGACAAATATCAAAATTCTAAATTTGTAGTGAAAAAAAAAAAAAAGAGGTGATGTGGAGGAAGCCGCTCCAACGAGAAGATTTCAGTCACGAAGGTTGAAGCTTAGTTCCCTCGCAGTTTTTTTTGGCGCCAAAGTCTGTCATCTTCAGTATTGAGTTAGGGTTTCTATGCTATTGATGCGAGGATTATTTCTGAAATTTCGATGGATGTAGGAATTGCTGTCGATTCCCCGACCATTAAGCCCATTAACAAAGGCATTGTCCACAGAATTTGCTCAGGGCAAGTGATTCTTGACCTCTCTTCTGCCGTCAAGGAGTTAGTCGAGAACAGCTTGGACGCTGGAGCCACCTGCGTCGAGATTTCCTTGAAAGATTTCGGAGAAGAGTGGTTCCAGGTCATTGATAATGGGTCCGGCATTTCTCCCACCAATTTCAGGGTATTTTTCGATTTCTCATTACGTCCGTATGCAGCTGTTTTTTTTTTTTTTTTTTTTTTTTTTTTTTTATNTTTTTTTTTTACTGTTACCAACATCTATGTTATTATGAACAGAGGGATGATAAATCTGTGGTTTAACTTCTATTGACCTTCAATCATTGATACCTTGGGAAGAACTCACTGTTACCCAGTTGATATTTACGGGTTATTAATCTGGAATATTTTCTTTGTTCGATACTACTGCATTATTTACACGAATATTCTTTCCACTATGTTTGATACGTTTGTTTTCTAAACGTCGCAGGTTCTTGCTCTCAGGCATCATACGTCAAAATTGTCTGATTTTCCTGATCTCCAGTCTTTAACCACGTATGGTTTCAGAGGAGAGGCACTAAGTTCTCTTTGTTCTCTTGGAAATTTGACTGTTGAAACTAGGACAAAGAATGAGTCTGTTGCAACCCACTTAACTTTTGATCATTCAGGACTACTAGTTGCTGAAAAGAAAACTGCACGCCAAGTTGGAACCACTGTCATGGTTAAGAAGTTATTCTCAAATTTACCTGTGCGCAGTAAAGAGTTCAGTCGTAACATTCGAAAGGAATATGGCAAGCTCATTTCATTATTGAATGTAAGTTTTCATTCTTGCATATACATTCTAGCATTAGTGGGTTAAGTAGGATGTTAAGTTGGTCATCAGGAGATGCCAAACATGGGCTGTAAGAAGTATTTATTTGATAAGATAGGATTTCAAGTTTCATGGCTGAAGAAAAAGGGCGTGATCATAGATGAATGGGATAGGCCTCTATTTGGTTGCTATCTTATGTATTTATATTTTTGTAATATGTACAAATATGTTCACAAAATTGTAACTCCTTTGGAGCTGCCTCTTTTCCCTTTTATATTTAGTTTCATCCAATGAGAAGTTTCTTCTTATTTCAAAAATAATAATTATAATAATAATAAATAAATAAATCATGTAGTTTCATGGCTGAAAAATTCTCTTTTATGAACTTTGCTGGTTACTTGAATGTCTTCAATTGTGCTGTTTCTGGTTGCAGGCTTATGCTGTCATAGCAAGAGGAGTTAGATTTGTATGCACTAATTCTGCAGGAAAAAATGCAAAGTCTGTAGTATTCAAAACTCAAGGAAGTGGTTCCATTAAGGATAACATCATAACAGTGTTTGGTATGACTACCTACAACTGCTTGGAGTCTGTATCTATATTATTATCAGATGATTGCAAAGTTGAAGGATTTGTGTCGAAGAGTCGACAGGGAAGTGGGAGGAATTTGGGAGATCGGCAATTCTTTTTTGTAAATAATCGACCTGTGGATATGCCTAAAGTGAGCAAGCTTGTAAATGAGTTGTATAAAAGTGCAAACTCCCGGCAATATCCAATTGCAATCATGAATTTCAGTCTCCCAAGTAAAGCTTGTGATGTCAATGTAACTCCTGATAAGAGAAAAATATTCTTCTCTGATGAAACTCACATTTTGCATAGATTGAGGGAGGAACTACTGAAGATCTATTCTCCAATTAATGCCTGCTATTCTGTGAATAAAGTTGAAGAACCTACTAAACAAGTAGATAGCGTTGAGCTGTGTTCTGATAAAAGGAAATTGAGCATGTTAATGGAACATTTCTCACCTGATGAAAGTAAGCTCAGAGGTGCTTCTTCTCATCTGACTTCGGCTGATAATGATGATTCTCTCAAGATGGTTGAAAATGTGGAACAATCCTCACAAACTATTGATGTAGTAAATAGTGATGGTGAGGAAAATATAACCAGAAAGGACTTTGCTCTTAGAGTGCATGGCATGAAGAAGGCTGATGCTTTTTTAAAGGATTATGATCAACATAAGAAAACTTGTTTCAGTAGCAAGAAAGGTGAACAAATTACTCCTTCCTCTCCATGTGTGACTGTTACTGGAACCGATACAAGCCGTGTTCAATCATCACTTGACAAGTTTGTAACTAAAAATAAGAGAAAATATGAAACTTTATCTGCACCACTGTCTGAAGTGCCCATCTTAAGAAACCAGTTTCTTAATAATCAATGGAAGAAAATCGGTCCCGAGAATCCTTCCAAGGATGTGAAATGCACACACGGAGATTGCCAGGTGTTTGATGATTTTTCAGAAGGGAATGATGAAGACAGCTCCATACAAACTAATACAGACAGAGTTTTCAATGAACTTAGTATTCCACTATCTTCTGCGGACCATAGTGATGATGGAGAAACAACAGAGGTATACAATCTTTTACATTCGTGGGGGGAGGTTTGGAACAACTGGGAGTACCGTGAACCATATAGACCATTAACTTTGTATATAGTTTCCTTTCTTGATTAGAAACAAATTAATTCTCCCTTTTTGAGAACTCTAAGCATCACTTCACATTATAAGTGATCTTTTCCCCCCTTTTGGAATACAACTCAAAATTGTTGACGTTAGAGATTTTTCTTCAAATAATTGATAATTTATAGTGGCTCAATTGTTCTAGAAATCCAAACTATTGGCATGGAAGCCAAGACAAGTAAATTCAGTGAGGCATTAAAAAAAGACTATCCATAATTTAATATAAGCGTCAAGTTATTCCTTCAAGACTATTGAGCATTTAGGTGTAATTCAGTGCAACTTCATTCGTATTTTATCTGAGAGCAAACGGGAATAAGTGCATGATTGGTGGCAAGTGACTAGCTTGGTACCACTTGATATAACAACATTGTAGGTGTAATTATACTGTCTGTCAAAATATTGACGTCACTAAGATTTCTGGCCCTTCATGTGACCGTTTCTCTTGTAGGAATGTACAGAGGAAGCCATAGCTAAGGTGCCTCATTCTGTTATAGAATCAACTGATACACCCATCAAGGATCTTGAGATGTCTGAGGATCTTCTACTATCCGACTCTTCAGTACTTCCTTCTGGTTTTATGAAAGAAAGCTCCAGTCCTCAATTGAAGTTATGTTCGACGTTTCATTTTGAGTTTCATGAGCTGAAGAAAAGGAGGATGCAGCGGCAGTTGAGATACAAACTGAATGGCTATATATGCGAAAGGAAGAAGTTGAAATGGTCTCTGAAATGCTAACATTATTCAATAATATTCTATCCACTCTTATCATGCATGTGAATAATGATTTAACTTTTTATCATCGCTTGCAGCCACTATGCTGCTGCTACTCTGAAACTTTCTCAACCTGATAATGAAGACCGGAAAGCAAGAGCTTTAGAAGCAGCTGCCAAGGAGCTGGACCGGCTCTTCAGAAAGGAAGATTTTAATAGAATGAAGGTCTCTAATCTCGTCTACTTGTTGTACTTTTGTAATGTTTGTTGCAGTTGAAACTATTACTCGCAGTTTTTTGATGTTGACCATAAATTTCAATTTGTGCTTTTACATACAATACCCCTTTATTACAAGCTTTGACAACTTACACCAGTAGGATATGCCACTGGTGACATTTGATTGCTTCCATTAATATTGACTTCTCTCAAGACCTCATTAGTCTATAGCCATGCTTGGCCATAGTTTCTTTGGGGCATTCTCAAGAAATGGTTTATTTATTTATTATTATTATTATTTATTTTGGGAAGCTTAAGCCAAGATTAACACTGTTGAGTATTACTAATGTTCATACAATCTACGTCAATCTTGGCTTCTCTTAGTCAGAAAGGATAAAACAGAGCATCTTTGTCCTACTTAGCTGGTCCAATCCCAGTACATTAATGAATAATTTTTGTCCATTGATTCTTTTTCCAATTGAAGATAAAAGGACTATTAATTAAATCTATGTTTTATATAGGTTGTTGGACAATTCAAC